ACAGCTCACATGTTCTGTCTCTGACAGCATGAAGTCTCCCAATTGATGCTGCACACAGTCCAATGAGATGGTCAGCTCTACCATCCAGTCCTTCATGGACAACATCTCCAAATGGATACGCCTTTGGCAGCAGCCACAGCAGGACGACTCAGTCAAGACTAGCCTTAGGCAGATACGCAAACTGGCCCAGGTTTCTGAAGACCAGGAGAACTGCAGTGAGTGTCGACAAGAGCCTGAGACTGCTCCAAACCCAGATAGATCTACTACCTTTCCCTCAAAGATGAACTCTGAACCTGAGGAGCAGAATATACCCCCAGTACACGCCCCACAGGAGGTGTTCTGGTGAGACCATGTGTGCTGGAGCTCCTCACTGCAGGTGTCCTCCTGGGTGTTGGGCACAACAGACCAGTGTGACACAGACGAGTTCTCCAAGCTGCTCCTGCAGAAAGATGCACTATGTAACCATGTCTCCATGGTGATGTTCTTGCTTTGTCTGGAATTCTCCACAGTATGGCATTAAACTAATCAATCTTGTTTTTATTCAGTTACACATATTTTTATTGCAAGGAAATTACTTGAAAACATGCATTCTTACTGTGAGTGGAACCTCCTCCACAGATTAACATATGCTTAATGCTACACTGTGGAACATTCTGAGCAGAGCAAAGAAAAGTTGCATATTGCACTTTTAATCTTAGCTTTTCAGTAAAACAATTTGAAAAAATCTGATGTGTGGTATTGTGTTACGAAGAGGGAAAAAAAAACGGATGGGATGGAGAGAGATGGAGGAGGAGCGGAGGAAATGGAAGGAGGAGAGAGAGGTGAAGACAAAGGACTCATGAAAGAAAAGCAGTGGACAACAGCACAAACTGTAAGTATAAATTACAACTAAAACTACTCTCTTCTCCATCTCATCACTGCTAAGGCACAATAGAAAACAATTTAAATGTGAAGTTAAAGCATGCATTGTTGACTGCAAAAGTGAATATCTAACATGGGTTAAAATTACTTGAAAATATTGATCTGAAAAAGTGTATTAGGTTAGATAAAAACAAGTTTATTTTTGAGATTATTTAGTCCAATACATTTTAAACAATATGAATCTTGTTTTTATACAGTGAAATGTGCAGACAACATTGCTGTCTAAATCAAATTAGTAGAAACATGCACTGACAATCCTCCTGGGGGAAAACACAATGCTTAGGAATTAAATCTCTCTATGTTTTTTGTTATCTTTTTTGGTCTGGCTAACTTTTCACCCTGGTTTGTTATAATCAGCATGGAAAAGAAAGGTTTTTAATAAGTTGCATGAATAGAAATCAGCAGAACAATGGGCAAAACACAGGAGAGACACAGGAGGGTGGAGACTGTTTAAATAAGACACCAAAACACATTCTTTAGTGGGAACTCATGTCTTGGACGCAGAAGTTACAATGACATATTATGGGTGGAATGATATGGACTCAGAAGAAAACAAGTTAAAAGATACACGACCAGGCAAAAGTTTGGACACACCTTTTTCCCCTTTATTTTCATTGCAGATTCTCACGGAGCATCAAAACTATCAAACTAACGAACACTTTATGGAATATAGTAAACAAAAAATTGCCTCAGAATCACAGAAAACTTTCAGATTTTAGATTTTGAAAAATAGTCATCCTTTGATCTGTTCTCATTTGTACCTTTGGCATTTCTTGACCATGACAAGGCACAATTGTGAAGTGAAAACTATGACGAATTTGAATTAAAAAAATATTTTGTTTGCATTATGTAACTTTTGTACTTTGCTACATCTTCTATATATCTTGCTTCATATATTTGATATCTTTGGTATGTATCTAAAAATGTAGAAAGTAATACAAAGAAGAAAAAAAACTTTAAATGAGAAGGTGTGTCCAAATTTTTCATTGGTAGTGTATATATTGTTCTTTAACTCATCATTTTACAGTCAAATTGATTTTAAAAATGTGATGAATTACACGTTTACTTTTCTTTTTTTCTTTTTTTTAATAATGATAGGGTTGTTTTTTTTTATGTCAGATGCCCTTCCTGTCTATAAGCATGTACTGTATTTGTTAACAAGAGTGGTCTATACTGATATATTTTCAGTGTATTATTTAATATAATGATCATATTATGCACCAGGGATGTAACAATAATTGAAATATTGTGATATCGTACTGTCAAAAGTCTCACAATAATACCATGGACTGTCACAATATATCGAATTAAAAGTTCCTTTGCTTAAATTCATGGTTTTATAGTAGCAACAGCTTATAAACATCGGAAACTCCATATCCCATGATTCATTTCAGTGCAGACAACATGAAGAAATATGTTTTTTACTTGAATTCTTGGGATTATGATGGAAATAATTCACACCAAAATCTTGTTAAGGTATTTTAAACGCAAAAAAGTGTTCCATCTACAATTATACTAGCCTCTTCAAAATATTGCAATAAATATCGTACCGTGGGATTTGGATATCGTTATATCCCTACCATGCACAGATCACATGAAGTAAATCAAAGCACTATGAAACTTTTTGAGGACTGATCTTTGTGGGCACGCTTTGTCAGTGCCTGATCTCATCTGATTTCTGATGCTAAACAGAGTCCAGTGTGGTTAGTACATCGATGGGAGACCAGTTAGAATACCAGGTGCAGTGGCGGAGTCAGCAATTTGAGGGCCCTAGGCGAATTTGAGTTTGGGGGCCTCTCTATAATGCACCATTTTTCTGTTCTGTCTGTTTTTCCATTGTTCTTGAGACATGCACATCTATATTTATTTGAATTATAGTGCACTGGAAACTTGTCTTATTAGTTAGGTCGCCTACTAAATTACCAGAGCTGAAAGTAGTTTTATTTTTTACTAGTACAATTATATTTTTGTTTACATCCACTACATATGATTAGGATTATTTTTCTTATGATTATTGCTTAAAAGTAAACTACTCTCATTTTATGTTATATTGAGAGAAATTCTAATTGCTCTGAGGCCTCGTCCATTAGTGGCGTTGAGGGCAATTGGTTGGGGGCCCCTCCAAGTTTGGGGGCGCCTACTTTTACTTAATGGTCGTGCTGCCTCTGACCATGTGCAACAGTGGGAAGTGGCTTTAATGCAAACTGTTACTGTGTCCTTAAGCAAGACACTTCACGCACTTTGCCTAGAATAAGTGGAGAGTGTGAGACAGATTTGCAGCCTTATTTTCATCATTCTAAACCAGGGGGACTGTGCCAACAATATTAGTTTACCACCACTAAGGACAGAAGTTTCAATCTGTATCATATTCATACATATAGAACATGAATACATAAAAAAGAAAAACATGTTGGCAAATTGTTTTAACTTTTGACTTCTGCAAAGTTATGAGCAAAGTTGAAAACTCAGGGATTTTTATAAGCGGTGCAATTAATGAAAAGGCAAAGAGTGTGTAAACATGAGGAGAGGATATTGAACAGTTCCTCTCTGTGACTCTCTTCCTCTCTAGACTTCCTCTGGCTCATAAACCTTTGCCCCTCACAAGTCGCGGGAATGGGCGCGCTTCCAGTGGTCCTGCTGCTCTGCGGTTTCCACGGTAACCCCATCCAAACACAAATCATCGGGTTTAATTACGCTCCAGTTGCCGTCTGAATGTTTGTTTTTTAATGTCGTGAACTGCTTTTCCTTTTACATGTGCTTATTGCTCACCAGTGTTCACAGCTGGGGCCCAGAGCGGTAAGACTCCCCCTCCCTCTCACTCTGTCTTTCCTCATGACTCGTATTTTAACATGGCAAAGGCATTAGTTTAACTCACTTCAGCACACAATATTGCTTTGATAAGGCTGGCGAACAGGATGCATGATTAAAGGAACTCTTATGTAGCACTTAAAGCTTTAATAAAGATCCTACGACCACAACTCAATCCGGGTTACCCATGCCTTAACTTTTTATTGATTTTAACAACACAAAAATAATAATTGGTGGTTTTGAGAGTCTACAATGTGAGATAATGAAAAGCCAGATTTCCCTTGTACTTGTGATGAAATATCCAAAAGGTAAATTCACAAATATTGAACCTGGTATTTTAATTGTTGACCAAACCCAAGAACTCACTGTATTACAACATAATTTAGCATTTTAACAATATAAATTTTAGCTGCCCCATCTGTATTAAATAATGTTGTTCCTATAAAATGCTGTGATGTTATCTGAAACACCACAACAGACTAAAAAAAAATAAATAATACAAATAAAATTAAAGGTGCATTGTAACTTTTCTGGTAGAGGGTTGTTTTTTTTTTTTTTTTCCTGAAGATGTTATTGCTTTGTCTGGAATGTCACACAGTATGGCATTTTATTCTTCTATCTTCATTGAGACCAAACCAGATCAAGTTACAGGTCAGATCTGTGGGGAGGCAACATCACTCATAATCAAAATGCTTGTTTTTCTAGGTATTTTTAAGCAGTAAAACCAATTGCAGTTGGATAGATTTAAACATAGAGCTGTTTAATGTCATATTGCGGAACATTTCAGTCAGAGCAGTGGCATATCAATAGAAACACGATGGTGACAGACCCCCAATTAAAAAGTTACATAGTGTACCTTAAAAAAAAAAAAAAAAAAAAAAGAAAACATAAAAATAAACTCACATACCCCAATCCCTCTCTCCACTCAAAATCTATCTCGCCAAAATGTCTTAACCTGCATATGATCCATACCATTTTTTTCTCTATAGACAGGCCTGCCTCATATTAAAGCTCAGAACCTCCAGAATTCACTCCCTGAACTGCAGACGCTGCACTAGCACTGATTCATGATTGACTGCAGGCTCTGGGTTTAGGTAGTGACCATTCAGATCAGAGAGAATCTTTTTAAAACATCTGGTTTTCAGAAACTACATACAGTTCCTTCAATTACAAAATGAACATTCAAAGTTTAACCTGTTTTTTGTTTGACACACAGCACCTACACCTGCTGGAGCTTTATCTTCAGGTAAGTCATGTCTGAACAAAGCGGTTTCATTGTATTCCAAGTATTGATTCTTATCACAGGTCAGTAGAGTAAAGACAATTGCCTATAGTTTTTTGTGGGGTTAAGTTTATAATGTTACAGTTTCACCTCCTGTTTGGACATGGGCAGCAGATATGACAATGTTATGATTAGACCAATAAAAATAAACAATAAAAAAGACAAAAAAACAGCCACTTTATTTTGTTAAATTATGGTTTAAATCACCGGAAAAAATTTTTTGTTTGTCAGTTGTCCTTGGATTTTGAATGGAATTTTCCATGTTGATGGCACAGGAATTTGCTACTTTCTGTATTTTTGTACTTTTCGTTCTTTCTAAAAAAAAAAAAAAAAAAAAAAAGAATCCCACAAACTCGCACCATGACAAATATTTACCACAAGTACCATTCCACCACAAGAAATTATTCGAAAAATGTGAAAATCTGTTTTAAAGAATGTGCATCATCAGTACAAGTAAAGTTTAAATTATATTGCACAAGTAGGATACAAATAAACCATTTGTTACACAGAATAACTATAATAAAACATATAATAAAGAGACTAGTACAAATAACTCATTGCTTTGAACCTTTCCATATTTATTTCTTCTTCTCTGTGTGTGCAGAGTGCAGGGAGGAAATGTATCCCTGCAGCAGAATGTACTCTGTCCATCGGCCGATGAAGAAATGCATCGGAGGCTTTTGTCTCTACAGGTAACGCACCGTTTGACTGAACAGGTAACACACAGTTTGACTGAACAGGTAACACAATATTTGACTGAACAGGTAATACAACATACAAGATACTAATGAACATGCAACAAAACTAAACTAGACTAAAACAGCACGATCTATCTTGTGTTAAAACAAAGCTCAGATTAAAGTATAAGTTGAGTAACAGAGCTTGAAACAGAGCAGTGTTTCCAGTTAGCGTTACATCCTCAGGGCATGTGGGTGACTTCGGCTGTGAAGTATCATCAAACTGTATCTTCCATGTTGCAGAATTTGATGATGTGATAGATTCAGATGGAGCGCAGGGAAAGGTGTAAAACTGTGAGAGATTTTCAGTTTTTGTGTGAAATATCCAAACTTATGATCACAAACGTTGAACCTTATCATTACTTGATTGGCCACACAAACATACCATAGCTAGCTTGAACTTTTGTTTATTGGTGCTGATATAGAAGAACTTAGTGGTTTTGTTTCATGTGAATTTGTCTCTGCAATTTCAGAGATATTAACCATAAACCAGGTCAATAAATCTGCAATCTGACAATCAAACAGCAAATTCCACCACTGATTTCTGGCCTGTCAGTTTTAAACTAAACCATATTCAAGAATATTATGATGTCAACATGAACCCATTTAGGGCATCATTAGGGTATCATTAAGAAGTTAACGATACAATACATACCTTGATACATAGGCCACGATTGATTGATTGATTGATTGATTTGTTTATTATGAGTTTGTGCCAAGAGAGAAACAATAATCAGAAAAGCACATTTCTCGAAAAGGAGTGGGAAGAAGAAAAACTTATATTAACCCACCCCTCTTCTATGATACGATACATATCTCGATACAGTGCACTTTCGATTCAATACAATTAGATATGAAATATTTCCAATCATTTCTAAATCTTGGCTGTGGTGCTTAAAGTCTTTGTTAAACTATTCTTGTGCAAAGTTCATATAAAACACAAACATTTTAATCATCAAAACAGTAAAAATGTCAAATGTGTCACATAAACGAGTTTCCTTCCTCTGAACAAGCAACAAAACTGAAGCTTTAACCAAATAATGTAGTAAAATATATTAAAAAAAGACTCTTGGCGATATATCAATACAGCAGCACACGATATCAGTACTGTACTTTATCATCACTTTAAACAGTATGATATATCTTTTTTGTTTCTTCACACCACTAAACCTGGCGTCGGTAGTGTTGTGTTTTAGTTTTTGTATTTCCTTGAGTGAAGCAAAAAAGAGGGAGCCACTGTCTGTGTGAATGTTCATGTATGTTAGTATATTGTTTTATCTCCACAGCCTCCAGCGCATGTACGTGATCAACAATGAGATCTGCACGAGGACCGTGTGCCCACAGGACGAGTACTTGAAAGGTCAGGCCCTCTCTGCAGTAGCTCTATTGTATCATACTGTGTAAAATAAAAAAAAATAAAAAAAAAAGTGTTGGATTCTGTCAGATGTTTCTTATCTGATACACTGATAAAAAAAAAAAATATTCCAGATAGAATTCAACCTTCTATTGCTATGTAGTGCAGTGATCATAGTTATACTTTATATATATACTTTTATAAATTTTAAACTTGATTTAGATATTAAGGAAGAGGCTCAGTACCTGATGCAGAATTTAGTACCACAGTGAACACCATGATCATAAAAATATAACAATTTAGACTTGATTAAACAGAAATTTAATACATTTTGGCAATTTTAATATTTATTTTCAATTATTTTCAATTATGAATCTCTATGGCAATGGTCAAAATTTTTTCCTTCCTGCAGCTGAACTGTGCAGGGAGCGGTCCGGGTGGCCCAGACGCATCGAGAGGTCGTCCAATCAGAGGAGGCGTTGTCGCAGTCGTCGTGGCAACCCTGACACCTGGGCAAACAAGGTCTAACGGAGCCTCGAGTCGGGCCATAAAATATAATGTGTATAAGTCTATAAAACCCCGTCTTCACACCCCAGGCGTTCCTCTCATATAACACACGCTGTCACTTTTGATTTAATCTGTGTTTATCGATTTCACTTAATTGTCTGTGAACATCACGGAGAGCTGGTTTCATATCTACACAGCTGACAAAGATGGTTTATGATCAGAGATGGGTGCTACTCAGTTACATTTACTCAAGCACACTTTGTACTTACTCATATCATACTTTTACTCCTACTTGAGTTACATATTTCACAGTGCAACAGTACTCTTACTTGAATAAAAGTTACAACCCAGCTGTTTTTCTTTAAAGGTGCATTGTGTAACCTGCTGTGTAAAATGCTTTTCTCCATGGACATGTTATTTCTTTGTCTGAAATGTTTCACAGTATGATATTAAATGTTTTTATCTTCATGGAGACAAAACCAGAGCAAGTTACAGCGCAGATCTGTGGAGAGGCGACCCAGCTCACAGTCAGAATGTCTGTTTGTCTAGGTCAGGGGTCTCCAAACTTTTTCCTTGGTGAGCTACTTTTACAAAATGAAAATGCCAAAGAGTTCCTCATTTTAGTGGTCACATAAAACTGAGTAAATCTAAAAGCCACGGCGTTAGATGGAGTACAGTTATACATTTATTTAGTGGACAAATTTAGTCATGAAAATTATACATTTATGATGGCAATAGCCTTTTAATCAATCCAATTTTAATTATTCAGCATATAATTCTGAAATCTCTTGGCGAGCTCCTAGAAAGGGGGTGGAGAGCTACTGGGATCTCCCGAACTACAGGTTGGAGTCCAGGTCCAGGTATTTCTGAGCAGTAACTGAATAAATGTAAAGTAGAGCTGTTTAATGTCATACTGTGGAACATTCCAGGCAGAGCAGTGACATATCCATAGAAACAAGCAAGCGACGAATCCCCAACCAAAAAGTTACATAGTGTACCTTTAAGTTACTTACTTGAGTAGTAGTTTCTGCACATTTTTTTTTACAGTTACTTGAGTAATTTCCTGAACCATTCCTTTGTACTTTTACTTGAGTAATTTTGTACAAGTGCAAGTTTTGGCAACACAGCTGCTCTGGTCATCATTTTACACAAGATTTATAGAAAGTGTTAAAGGACCACTATGTAACTTTTCTGGTGTGATACCTGCTTGTCTCCATGAAGCTGTTATTGCTTTGCCAAAAAATGATCTAGCTTATCTGTCTCCATGGTGACAAGGTGACTGGTCAAGTGATATCCGTTTTAAAGCCTTACTGTGGAACATTCCAGGCCAAGAAATAACATCACCATGGAGACAAACAGGTGGCAGAAAGTTAAGCTACACACAGAATATATCATGTTACTGTACTTTTGTATGGAATAAAATGCTCAGTTAATCATAAATGTGTTTGGTGTTGCTGTTGTGTGTTGTTTAAACTGAAAGCGTGACTTTTACCTTGTGGAAGAAATGAAAAAGGAAAAAAAAGAGTTTAGTAGTTTTACTTTGTATATTCAGTTCCATTTACAATATGATTTACAAACAGTTATAATCTGAACATCTGGACAAGAAACAAACACTGACAGTAACTTTCTTAGCAGCAGTTAATCTACCCATAATCATTGCACATCTGTCGCAACGTTTCAAATCAGTTTCACAAAACCACAACCATTCTGAACACGTAATCACAACTGAATACTTCATCACAAACAGAAATGCACTGGTCGCACACCTCACATCTGAACATGATTTTTACATTTAGACTTTACAGAGTTTGTACAGAGCAGCTCATATTTAGAGCCCATGCTGTCAGTAGCTGAAAATCACTGATGATGTGTTGTTGTAAGATACTGAAAGATTCAAATCAAATCACAATTTTCAAAGCACAAGGTTACAATTTTGTTTTTATAAGAATTTTGTACACTTAACGGTTCACTATATCATTTTTCTAGTCATGGGCGTGCCACCTGCTTGCCTCCAAGGAGTGGAAAGTTTCATAGTACGGCATTCAACTTGTAGCTTGATTTGAGGTGTTAGGATTCGTTTGCTGGACAGTAGGCAGGTAGTTTTTTATTTAACCAATCGCTATTTGTTCGTGACGTATGTAATGCGCCGCTAACAGGGCTATCTGGTATATTAAGCTTTTCCCAAATCTCATTGGAAGAAGGGCAATAGCGTCTTTCCCCTTGATAAAATTCACCAAACATTCTCTTTGTTCCAGCTTTAAGTCCTCGGGAATCGTTGCGAACACAGAATGTATGGCTCTTCACTGATTGGCTGGTGACCGGACTCGCACTTCCAGGGTTCTTGCAAACCATCTAGTGTATTCCAATTCCTGACCTAGTTGCTGGAGAGAAATGAAATTGAGTGGAGGCACTAGGTGGCCCCAGCCTGGCTATTCAACTTGTGTATATCCATGGAGAAAAGCAGGTGACACCATAAGGCTGTGGAGAGGAGAGTTGAATTGTATTGCCATATCGCCCAAATGTGGTGTGCAACAGAATCCAGAGTCTTTTCTATTAACAGCTTCTTTGTGAAACTTATGGTTTTATTCCATGTCTGTCTTCATTTACTCTATGCATATGTGAACTTGATACTGAGGTCTTTTGATTTTGTTTGTGCTCATGTCTGTGACTAGATTTTGAGCTTTAAGGGCCACTGTACAAGCCTGAGTCCAGTTTTTGCATAATGAGTTCTTATGGTCGTGACTAATGATGCGACTTTTATGAATGACTTGGCTCTTTTGAATGGTTCTTTAACACTTTATTTAGGATTTCATAATTTCAAAGAGTAAACACACTCCTGCTCACCGTTTGAACTATTTTAAACAGATCTGTGCCTTGGTCATTTCTCTTTGTGATTAGTTTGTTGTTAAAATTTGTCCTCACATTGGCTTTTGTCACATAATTAAATATAAAAAAGCCATTCTGAAAGACTTTTTGTCATGAACAGTTCCAAAAGATTCTGATTCCACAAAGGAGCCGAAAGTCCCATTAGTAGTCGTGATCTTAGTGACTCATGGAGCCACAGTTTTATGCCTGTGTTGGGCTCAGATCACACGTTTCACACGTTGGGCTCAGATCACACGTTTTACACATCACCAGAGACTAAGATATATGGTCCATACTTTCTGTCACACCACATCCAGCTGTGAGGAATACTTTCAGGTTCCAAAGCCTAATTATTATCATATTATTCTTCCCATGTATTTTGTCTTCCCCTGGTACTGATATGATGTATGAGCAGCTCTTGTGATAAAATATGTCTGCTGTTCCTGGTCTCTGAGAGTTGCGAGAAGCACTTATAAACTCATTGCAGTGAATAATCTGAATGCTTGGAATGCATAAGGTAAGTGTGAAATTTTGGCCCACCGTTTTAAAATAAACTATTTCTGATTTTTACCTTTTTAAGACCCTAAACATCAGGTACAGTGCCTTTAATCTAACAGCATTTACAGCATTTACAGTGATAGATTTGCTTTTATCAATAGGGCTGCACAGGAATGTAATAATGTCACAATAATGGCTAAAGCAATAATCAATATAGCAAGAAAGGGTCTTTGAGTGTCTAAAAAAGTGCTATATAAGTTCAATGTATTATTAAAATGTAAATACCGCAACAAAATTACATCGAAGTTCAGTTACTTAAGTGAAATCAAACATTTTCATATTTTTAGTTATTCTTAGTTTAGTCTTTAGTCTCTGTTTTTATTTTGACACTTTTCACAAATAATTTTAGGTGAGTAGCAGTAATTTAAGTAATACATTATAATACTGCATTATTGCTATTGCTTTACCAAACATAGCTACTGAATATTGCATCTTTTTAATCGTGCAGCCCTATTTATTTTATACACTACTGTATTTCTAAACTAATCCTACAAGTTCCCATGAGTGCCCACTAGAGGGTGGTAGAGTGCACCATCAGCTTCATGTTAAGCCAGTGCATAGTCAAGCCTCCTGATAAAAAAACAAAAGAACTGCAGCAGTATCTACCTTGTGTTGTATATTCTGTATAATCTCTCTGTACATAAATCAATTTATTTATCACACACATTGTATATTACAGTAAGTTTAGATTGTGTTGTCAAAGGGAAAGGGTTTATTAAAGGTTCACTATGTAATTATTTGGTGTAGGGTCTGCAATTTGCTTGTTTCTGCGTAAATGTTTTCGCTTTGCATTGAAATTTATGTTACACAATATGGCATTAAACTTGTCTAACTTCATGGAGACAAGAACGTGGCACAGGAAATTACAGGTCAGTTCTGTGGAGATACTACTCCCAGCACAGATGCATGTTTTTCATTGTCATCAGTTTTTAAAGAAAACTCCCGCACACTGACTAACTCTTGATTTTTCTTTTATTGGTACGACGTTTCAGTCCCTCAGACCTTCCTCAGGTATTGAGGGACCAAGGAAGATCTGATTCTTTAAAAACGGCTAAGTGCCTCTTCTCCAACGCACCTGTCGCCCAGTCAGGTGTGCAGAGTCTACACAGAATCAATTTCATTTTCAGTAATAAACACATCTGTATCTGAATATATGAATGCTAGTTGAGGTTAATGCCATGCTGTGGGATACTCCAGGCAAAACAAGAACATCTTCATAGAGACCAGCAGGCTGGCAGACCCTCCACCAGAAAAAAAATCATTGTGGACCTTTAAATGAAGCTACATGGGTTAAAACAACAAGGTCAACATTTTGTAGACAAAACAGGGGCTTTCTGACAGCTCAGCAGACGCCTGGGGTAATTAGTGTCAAGTCGACTGAATGCAGAGGGGCAGGACAGCACAGAGCAATGCACATTTGTAGTATCGCGTGTTACCCTGCTTGGCAGAGAAACTCAGGACCCCGAAATGGGGGAAACCATGTTGCATAAGGAAATTCCCAAAAAGAAAAGGGAAAACAGAAAGACTTCCTCACTTGGGAGGTGCAGAGTCAAAATCTCCCCACAGATCTGCAGACGCCGTAGAGGTGGTGTTCGACGGAGCGAATGAATTTGAACTGTTTGAATCTAGATCCAGTAAACAGCCTGATGAGGGAAAAGATTTGTTATTACTTGGTAGACTTAGAATAGCTCAGATGCACAATATAATAGTGTAAAAACGCTTGTAAAAAAGGTATCACACTGACTAGAGTCAAAATGTAATTACAATGAGATATTTAAAGTTAGAAGATTATTAAAATGACATTCTGATCTGATTACTTCCATCTGAATATTGTGGTTTAGATTTAAATATTATTAAAGGTTCACAAATCAGATAATACTCAGATTTTGGTGTGAATGTAACCATAGCCACATTGTGTAAATACTGCACAACCAAATTAAAAACTAAAATTAACATTAAATACAGTCTTTCCATATTGGCTCTTTGTGGCATGATAAAGGTTGTAAAAATGTACCTGTCTCACTTCCTCCTGTGATTGGCTGTGTGTTGTGATTGGTGTTTCTGGAAGATGGGGGCGGGGCAAGTTTTCCTCCAGGTGGGGGTGGGAGCAGCCCCAGACCACCAGAGCTCTGAGGGCGAGATCGCTCTTTCTTTTTTGATTGCTGAAATGATGAATACAAAGCATTAAAAGCCCGGAAAAATATACTTATAATACCAAAGAAATTAAGACCTCACTTTCTTTGAGCTCAAGTCATTATTTTGATTTTATCTTAATTACACTAAGTACCTTTTCATTTCCTTTAAAGCAACATTATCTGATTTTCAAAATGCAAAAGGAGGAACTAGGAAGTAGGTATTTAAATCTATCCAGACATTTCCTACCTCACACAAACCCATGGCACTTATCTAGTATTCAAATGCTTGAATTTTTGGGCACATTAACTTTAGAATAGCTTTTTAAAGACTATAATTAGATTCAAACAGCACATTTTTGTCTCAAAGTTCCACATTTACAATATACTCAGTTCGGAAAAAACAAAATCGACTCATTTACAAGAATAAAGTTGGGTACTACACTTTCAAGCAGTCACTTCAAATTATAAGCTTCTTCTCAAAGTTCACACGTCACTTCAATAGCTAAATTCACCTGTCACTCACTCATGACAAAAGCTGACTGAGGAGGAGTGGGTGGAAAAGGATGACATGTATTCTCATTAAAAGATCCACCCATAGCCTGGTTTTGCCAACTATTAAGTGAGAAATAATTACCCCAATATTTAGAGTAATTGTCTGGCCTTCTTTAAATCCCAAATCTAGTTTAGGAGTTGTATCTGGAGCTTGTGCTTGCTTTGTCAGTTCGATGTCTTGTTTGACCCACCTGCAAAAAGAAGAAATGTTAATATGAATCTAAAAATAAACTTAAAATATCAAAATTAGGACAGCTTTTGAGACACCCACTTAAAATGGTCCTGAAGAGCGACGTTGAAGTCAAATGCATCACCTCTGTCTCCAAAACCAACGCCTATGAATGCACTACGGCCTGGGGAATAGAATTTTTTTTTTTTAAAGAAAGGGGAAAAAATGGCAAAATAAACACATAATATTCACAAACATTAGCATTAGTAATTCTGACCGTTTTCATCTTGGATACGAAGCACAAAGTAGCGGCTAGAGTCACTGACTGTTTCCACAGCGATGCCTGGATATTCATCTATTGGTGCCTGTGCAAATAACTCTCCTGGAAAGAAGAAAATAATAATTTAGATGTAGAGAATACATGGTTCAATACATTTTGTCTCTACTCTGCACTTAGGTCTAAGGAAAGCAAAAAGTCGAGAAAGTTAGTCTCTGGATTTGACCTATTTTTCAATGCTGCTGGGGTAACCTGTCAGGAGCAGAGGGAGTCACAACACAGCACCCAGAGCTCATCCCCAGATTTTAAGAGTCTTTGTCAGTGTTAAGTCTGTGCTGTATTGAGGGCTCTCACTGCCCCCAGTCCTACATCATTGGTGATAATACTCCCTACAACAGAAGTATAGCCAAGACTGGACTGGACAACACAATCAGAGTGTCTTGAGGGTTCATATCTCTGGGTTTTATACTGATGGTAAATAAACTTTTCCTGCATTTGAACTCCAGCATCATGTCCCTTCTTTAAACTCTCAGGCTACTGCAGTTTATTGTGCAAGAGTCAGGATTACCTTAGCTGAAGGAATTTACTTATTGTGCATATTTTGGGTGCCCAGAGGAAACCCACCCTGACATGAGGAGAAACAAGCAAACTCCACAAACAAAGACCTGGGCAGCCTGGGAGAACCAGAACCTGGCGAAACTACTAGCCACTCAGCCCCACTACACCACAAAAATATCATAGCACCCTAAAAGGTCCTGTCTAGTAAAGTGACAGGGGTAAAAATGAATTTAAAAATGAATAATGATATTAGTTTTAAGAAACATTAAATATGCATTTGATTTCACAGCTTATGATTTACTATTTCATATAAAATACTTAAACTGTGTATCACGCACCTATGATAGAAAACAATATATGTTTATTCCGCTGATCTATAACGTGTCTAAAAAGACAAATTGCACCTAAATGTGTCAAAACAACCCTGTCGCGACTTCTTCACCTTGGAACAGATGAGTAAGAGCGAGAGGCCGGAGCAGGAGACTACACACACCGCACCACAGATAAACAGTGGTCAGATGAGTCCTCCGTCTGAGCCGCTCTTACCAGAGATTTTGTCTTCCAGTTTGACATAGGCCACTTTCCCCCTGGCTGTCACACGCATACGCCCCTGCCAGTCCGGGGCATCCAGCTTCCAGTCTGCAGCCCTGGTACAAAGCACAGATGGAGAGAGACAGTGAGCTGAAGGCCAAGAACAGGAAGATAGTTATGGGGTGCACTAGTTTGTGTTATGCATTATATAACAGACAGATACCAGATGCATGTCTGAATGGCTGATATCTAAATAAGTTTCTACAAATGATGGATGAATGTGATTTTGAATGATGAGGCGCATGTACAGTGTGTGTATGAGCCTTGATGAAGGATAAGAAGGGCTAAAGGGCATGGGTAAGAACGCAGGAGCTTATGTGTATGTGTGTATGTTGATTTTAGAATAGCATTTGAATGATGTGACCCTGTAATATCTTTTTAATTTATTTGAGGTCAGTTCGTCTATAAACATTTAATCTGCATTTCCAACATTTACACCAAACTGCACAAGGACTACAGGTGTAATTTAGCTTTCATGCTAAAACCTGGGACCAGCATCTTTCCTATGAGACTTGCCTTGGTTACTGTATTATTGTAGCCAGGCTAGCGCCACCTAGTGCCTCCACTCAATTTCATTTCTCTCCAGCGACTAGGTCAGGAATTGGAATACACTAGACGGTTCGCAAAAACCCCGGAAGTGCAAGTTCAGGCACCAACCAATCAATGAAGAGCCATACATTCAGTGTTGTTAACGATTCCCGAGATCAAGGATTTAAAGCCAGAACAAAGAGAATGTTTGGTGAATTTCATCAAGGGGAAAGACGTTATTGTCCTTCTTCCTACGGGATTTGGGAAAAGCTTAATATACCAGTTAGCCCCGTTAGCGGCACATTACATACATGACTACCAAATAGCAGTGATTGGTTAAATGATAAAAAGTACACGCCTACTGTCGAGCGAACAAATTCTAACACTTTCTACTAACAGTTTCTACGAAGTGAAACCGGCTGATGAATCAGACTAGCATTATTGTGCATTGTCTCTGTACAAATAGTTCAGTAAGTAAATAGTAAATAGTATGAAAGTGATGTGTGGGTGAGTGATGGTGGTGATTGGAGGGGCCGATGGCGCAGATTGGCAGCCTCGCTTCTGTCAGTCTGTCCCAGGGCAGCAGTGGTTACAATAGTAGTTTACCACCACCGGGTATGAAGTGAATGAATAATGCTCTGTAAAGTGTCTGAGTGTCCAAAAAGGCACTATATAAAAATGATGCATTATTATTATTATTACATAAAAGCATACTATACGATACTAGACGGGGTGGACAATATTGACCAAATTAAGATGAGATAAAATTAACTTTATTGTCCCCAAGAGACAGTTTGTTGGCGACTCCAGTACTGTACACAACTGCACAACACATTCTGCTTACAGAATACATACACAAATAAATGAAAAGATTGACTGCCATAGTCCCAGTCAGTCTCTCCTTTTGATTCACTTTGATTTGTAGTTAATAATTTAAAAACAAATCTTGATATTTAGCCAGCAATGAACAAATGAGAATGAATCGTGACCAAGATGTATCACTGATTCCCACTGAGGCTTCAATGGACCTTTATTACATAACCAATCCTCCTCTTGATAGTGGCTTATATGGTCAGCAGTGAGTGGTTAGCCAAATGGGTGTCCTGGGAGTCATATTGTTGAGGTCATATCCACTCTGTTGGTGGGTCAGTAAACATGTTTGAGCTAATGAGTGTCAAATAGCTGTTTAAGTCAATAATAAATCAGCTTATATGCACAATGACACATGCCTCTGGTTTATTTAGTAATCTCAAGCGGTTTCTGTGTTAAAACATCAATAAATTATCACTTAAAATTAAGTTAAACAAACCAAGAATTGCTAGCTGACACCATTATATCATCGTATTTGCTGCAATGTGTCCTTTGAGGATGGTAAACATTGTAAGGTGCAGGCTCCATCTGCAGTATAATACGCTTCCCTGCTCCTTACTTGTTAATTAACGCGTAGATTTAAGCTTTTATGACACATTTGCATGACCTTGTAAATGCACTACGTAAACACAGCTCACAAACTACGGTCTTTACGCACAGCCACGTTACCAGGACTGGACACCGGAGCTGCTGGAGGTCGCACACCCGCGCGGAAGTACGGGGATGGAGACCGGGGGATGCGAGCTGGTGCAGCGGGGGATGCAGCACTCACCTGACCGCCCGGTTGGATGCTCGCGGTGGGATCCGGTAGACGTTCACTTCAGGTTTGACACAGAGCACAGACTCGTACTCAGACTGACCCTCGGACGCCATCTTGACTGTCTTCGGCTGTGGATAAACGAGCGGTGAGGTATTTGCGCGGATGAGCAGTGGATAACGTGACCGTACGAGCCGCTGTTACGCACGGTGTTTTCTGATGACATACGAGTTTACACTACAATATTAAAAGTTGCAGCAATAATGATGGAAAAGCGGTTAAATGTAGCCTTAAATACCCTAGTTTTATGTATATTTTTATATTTATTTACATTTACAATTATAAAAATACCAAAAAGAATATATAGTCTATCAAATTTTGACATATATAGCCATTATACCCCATTTTCTATGTAAATATTATAGATTAAATGAAAATATGTAACAATTTTCAAACCTCAGATAGTCAAAAACATTGACATAATAATCAGCCCTATATAATAAGATTGAGATTTGAGTAGTTTATACAAAAGGTTTTATATTGAGTAAGATTTTCTGCACCAGACAAGCAGTGTATGAAATCAGTGTTTATTTGTGTAAGGTATGTACTGAATAATGCTACAAAAGTGACTTAAATTGGACTGAATAACTAGTATTAGTTCGCTGTTATAGCTTTTCTCAGGTTTCTCATTCTCAGGTGAAGAGTTGGGACTAAGTTGAGCTGAAAACATAATCCAGAAATTGTAGTGGTCTGGTTTTATGTCACAACAGCCCAAGAAGTCTGAAGGCGTCTCTTAAATCCTCAGTCTCGCACGGCTGTAACAGTAGAAGGATCACATTGTCACCTACAGAGTCTTATAACAATAATGATATCTCTAATTTATCACTCATGAAGATGCTTACTTGAAGGATGCGGGTCAGTTTCCTGGTCAGACGTACCGAGTTTTGGTGAAGACCTTCCCAGGCCTTGAAGCCCGTCTGGTTTCGAGCCACAAATGTTTGCCAGCAGTAAAAGTAGTCTGTGAAACAATGATTTTAAAGATATTATCAAACATTAGAATAGCATATTAGGTGAAGTCTTCTCTAGTCCACTGTGTTCACACTCATTTTGGTTTAGTCCTGGTCTTGTCCTATTTTAGCCTTCTAATTTTGTCCTAATGTAGTCCTGGTTTTGTCCAGATGGTCCTGATCTAGTCCTGGTTTAGTTCAAATGCAGTCTTCAACATGCACTACGTAAATTGAGTTGTGAAGATCCTCTACTAGTACTCAATGGAGATATTGTTGTTCCACAGTATGGACACACTATTTAACTTTTTTTTTCAGTTACACATGTTTTTATTGTTCAAAAATACATTGAAAAACATGTGGGGGTGTCCTTCACCTCCACAGATCTGACCTGTAATTTGGCCTGGTGGCATTACCTGCTTGTCTCCAAGGAGATGCATTTACTGCCATATTGTGGAATATTCCAATCTGGACAAAGCAATGACATCTTCATGGAGACAAGGTGGTAACTGTTCCACCACCAGGAAAGTTGCATAGTGGATTTTTAATCATGTTATTGTACCTTTATATTTCATGACTGTTATCTGCACTCCAGCCCTCTTCAGCATCCTCAGACCTTCTCGCTCTCTACTCTCCTCCAGGTCACAGAAGTAAAGCCGTGAGACGAAGATCCTGAGACGCAGGTTTGGAGTTTTTGTGAGGAACTGTGAGAGTTTGATGGAGCAGTTGACACAAGGAGACCAAGAGCAGAACCAGGTGATGGAGTAACTGAGTCTTTTGCTCTCCTCAGAATCTCCTAGGCCCCAAAGACCAGGGCACAGCGCACTCAGGTAACGCAGGAACAGGATCTGAATGAATGGCACAGATTAGAGGAGGACATTTGACTGTTGCAGTTTCTGTAGTTTGAAGTTATGCAAAAAGTGCAAAATTATTGTTGTATAAAAAGAAGTTGTAGGTGATATGCACTTTTGTGGTTTAAGGTGTACTACGTAACTTTTCTATTTTTAGGTTTGTCAGCTGCATGGAGATGTTTCTTGGAATGTTCCACAGCATTAAACAAATCAATCTTGCTCTTCAATAACGTCATAACGTCCTATCTAAGGTCCTATCTTAAACAAAATTGACTATTTTGAGTTTTAGGCCGTGTTAGAACATTGGAACCTCATCAAAAACAGACCTGGAGTTGTGTCTTTTTTTTTTCAGTCATTCAATCCCCATTCAAACTCAAAATGCTCTAATCCACCTTGTGATGTCATGAAGCGCTACTTTTCATGTTAACAGCTATGTTTTATGTTTAGTGCAGTAGAAATAGGCAATTCCAGGGCCGAAATTATTCTAGTGGTGTGTGGAGTTAAAAACACAGTGGAGCACTTCCTGTATTACCACATGACATCAGAAGGTGGAACAGAGTATTTTCCATTTGAGAGAATAACAGCCTAAATATGCAGGGTCTGAGTGTTGAATGAAACAAAACACAACTCCGGGCATGTTTTTAACGAGGAAACAACATTATAACATAGATTGGAAAATAGCGTAATCTGAGCCCTTTAAAATATACCTTGAATACATATTACTGTGAAAAGAGCTCTCTCCGCAGATCTGACCTGTACCTTGGCCTGATGGTGTCACCTGTGTGTCTTCATCAAGATGGATATGTTAAATGCCATACAATGGAACATCCCAGGCAAAGCAATACCAATTCCACGGAGACAAGCTCATGTTACACAGTGCACCTTAAATTAATAGTGTGCAGTATTTGAAGTTCTACCACAACACTGACAGCACATTTAGCACATTTCTGATGGATTACAAAAGTGTTATCTTATTATAATTTTCATGCAATACCAAAAAATATAAAGAAATTCATTATTGTCAATACCGCACCAATAATAATAATAATAATATCTTGTATGATTATTGCAGTTTGTAATTGGAAAACATCTCAAAGTGGTTAAAATCAACTCATGTTTTTAATTCAGTGATCTGAGCAGAGTTTCATACAGACCTCCACGTGGCAGCCATTGCGGTTACGAAGGTGTCCAAAGTCAAAGGACAGAGAGTCTGGCCCCACTCGTCTCTTTATTACAAAGCACAGGTACGTCTCGTGTCGACCCTTCGCCCAGCGCAAGTTCTTATAATGGTAAATAAACTTTTTCTTTGGTAATAGTACACTGGAACAAACACACACATTAGATGATTAGATATTCTGGTTTTGGTTGATTAATTGGCAACTCTAGATTTTATTTATTAAATGGATTCATTCAATCAAGACAAAAACATGAAACAAAAGACAGTGTTATTATTAAGCAAAATTGACTCCTGTGAGCTTAAGCCATGTTATAATGTTGTTACCTCATCAAAATAATATCAGGAGTTGTGTTTTGTTTCATTCACACATTGAGTTAAGTTGAGTAAGAATTTATTATTAGTCTGTCTACATCTCCAAAGCTCAAACTACTGTGTTCCACCTTGTGATGTCATGAAGTAGTAGTAGTTTTCAAGTTAACACCTCCTGTTACCTTTAGTTGAGAAGAGATTTGAAATTCTAGGGCTGAAATCATCCAAATTATTTTAATGAAGGTGTATGGAGTTTAAAAACACAGTGGAGCTCTTCTTGTATTACCACATGAAAGAAAAACTCAAGCCTAAGTATGCAGGGGTTTGTGTTAAACATATGAATGAAACAAAACACAACTCTAGGTCTGCATATGATAAGCAAACAACATTATAACATAGATTTATTTATTTACTTGTTTGTTTATTTATTTCATTCACATAGTATAAAAAGACACCGACAGTGTCACAACATCAAACATACAAGAAATGAATGAAAAGGAGCACAAAGAAGAGTAATTTCATGTTATCTACCCCCCTTTCCCTTTTCCAGACAATACATCAACACCGATGGTTATTCTAGATCTACTATAGATGAGAAAATAGGGTAATATGGGCCCTTTAAAGATGCACTGTGTAACTTTTCTGATGAACTGTCTGCCATCTGCTTATCTAGCTTTTATTGATTCACTTATTGTCAAAAAATTCAATGAAAAAACATGCATTCATGCCTGGAGGTGCCCAATGCGCGTCTGCACGGAGATAGATAGGTTTAAAGCCATACTACGGAACATTCAAAAGTAATGGCATCACTATAGAAGCAAGCAGGTAGCAGATCCTCCACCCAACACCAAGTGAAACTGTGCAACTTTAGGTATTGTATAACTGTATTGTATAAGTTTACAATAGAGTTAATTACTTATTATTAAAGGGACAGTTCCTCTTTAAAAGAACAAACGTGTACGTGAAATATGCAGGACGGGCATTTAACACTTTTAAAATTTAAATCACAATCAGGTCAGTGAGCTCAATATGTAGACACACTTTTTTATGAAGCAGCAAGCAGCTCTAATTTTATCTATTATGTTATTTTTAACTCAGTTGCATCAGTCAGTGTTAATAGTGAGAACTTTTACTATGCATTTCTCACTTTCAGAAGCTGCACTGAAACTATTGTACAGTGGTTTACTTGACCTACTACATGTAAAACCACTATTGAAATCAGTTACACCTTAATGCATGAAAATAAACTTCATAAGCATTGAATAAATTAATATAAATTGTTTAAAATCTGAATTAAAGTGTTGTGCAATGAAACGAATCTGTTGTACTCACCTGTCTAGTTTGGTAATCATTTTGAAAGCAGCGCCGCGGTCTTGTGTTGATTGTCAGGGATAAATGGAGGTAAAAATGAGAAAGAGTGAAAGTATGCGATGAGGGGGAACTGAAAACATATAGCTCACCTCTAAACATAAACATCCGCCTTTAAACAAAGACAACATCTGGTTGGACAAGACAAATTCAAAAGTTGTACTGTCATAAATGAGACAAATGAACCATGCAGCCCCGCTCACATGAATTTCCTATTTTTAGTGTTCAATGTAAACAGTAAGTCTTATTTTTGTAGGATATACTCTATTTCTATGCATGAAATGAGAAACAAATGCAATATTCCATAACTACTGTAACCTACTTTTGTGATATATCTTTATTAGACTTTTGATATATTTTTGGAAATTAAAACAGAGGAAATGTATCAGATAAAAAGTTAAAGGTACACTATGTAACTTTTCTGGTGTAAGGTCTGCTACCTGCTTGTCTCCACAGACATGTTATTACTTTGTTTGGAATGTTCCACAGTATGGCATTAATCATATTCATCTTAAAAAAAAACAAGCAGGTGCCATCAGCAGGCCAAGTTATAAGTCAGGTCTAAGGAGAGGCGACCCAACTCACAGTGGGAATTTACATATATTTTTGAGCAATGAAACATGTGTAATTGAATAAATGATGGTTTAATGCTACACTATGGAACTTTCCAGAAAAAGCAATACCATTTTAATGCAGACAAGTAGGTGATGGACCCGCCACCAGAAATGGGAAGCAGTATAACTATTTCATTTAGATTAATTAAAGAAAAAAAATCATCAAGCTCTGACTTTTTAAAACATCACAACACAAAATAAAAAAAATAAATGTGATTGAGAAATCCAGAACCGCATTTTTTTATAATTTAGTTTCTGGCAAAATACTTTTTATTCCTGCCAATTTTGCAATATCTATAACTGTGGTTGCCAAATATTTGGTTGTTTTGAAAATACAGGCAAAGTGGAGCCAAAGCACCTCCACACATAGTAGTGTGAATGCCACTTTTTGTGTGTCTCAACTTTTCCACCTGGTAAACTCCCTGCATCCTCTGGCCCCAAATTAGCTGGAACCGAAAGCATTACGAATCCTTCAAGGTCCTGACACCTATTTTGTCTCTCATTTGGGTTTTCCCTCTCTGCTGTTTGTAATGGGCCACCGGCGTTCAGCGTCTCTGCCAGACCAGGGTCCAGACTCTGTAGGAACTTGCCTTTGACCACTTTACGCCAATTTATTCATTCATTACTACAGTATTATTACTACTCAGTGACTTGTGTACTGAAAGACACTGTACTACTGTTGTTTCTGGCCACTACTTTATGTTTATTTACATAAAACAAACAATACTTTGTAATTTTATCATAATGTAAATCTGTGCACTATTTGTTTGTCCAATTAACTACCAGCAACTTCACAAGTCAGGTCACAACACAAGTACTGGTAGTAGTTTCACTAAATACTTTCACTCTTACTTGAGTATTTTTGGGTGAGTGCTTTTTCCTGCTATTTTAGTAGTGAGTGATATCATTTTAAAGTAATTTCTTTCTTGAATCTGCTGTTTTTGCTATTCCCTTCTCTGAGGATATAGCCTACTTTTACCTTGCTCTGTTCTGAGGTCTGTTTTGGTCCAGTGGCACAGCAGCAGGGCCCTCCGTTCCCATGATTCCCCTCACCCTCTCGTGCACTCTGCGGTTTGGGGAATTCACCGTTTCCCAGGACGGCTGTTTTTGGAGCTCCTCTGTGATGCATGTGTGTGTGTGCCCTCTGAAGGAGCACGTCATTAACACAGTCTATAGGTTATACATCATCTGGAACTAATTTCTCTAATTTATCCTTTGATTATGTGGTGCCCCAGCCTTTAGACTGTTTCATATGTGTGTGTCTGCATGCACGGAGCACCCTCCCCTCGTATTACATTACTCCGACAGTGCACAAACTTAATGTCTCTGCACATTTCTTCTTATGTGTCTCCTCCACTTCAGGATTGATGCCAAAGTCTATGTAACCACTTCCCACCCAACTCTTTGGTCTGACCACAGCTGACCAAGGTCATCGCTCTGCTTTACATGAGCTCCTCTGTGCTGTCAGTGTGGTGCAGAGGTCCAGCAGGGCCAGACACGGCTGTGCATTTACCCCGAGCTCAGGGGCACAAACCGGGTGTAAGAAACGCCAAGTCATACTTTCCGAAACCCACCCGCCCACGCCCTGCGCAGTGCTCGTATACACACTCACATGCACACATACACACTCACATACACACTCACCATACCGTGCAGACGCACATAACCACAGTCACAAACAGACTGTTTCCAGTGTGTGAACTCACATCTGTTTCCTGACAACAATAATAGGCTCAGATCAAACAGGCATCAGGTGTGACCTGACATTCACCAAGTGTCAGACTAACACCAGCATTTCTATAGTCCTGTAGTGCACGTGCACACTATTGTTTTTATAGTTGTCTTTGATTCATTCTAATTAAATAAAAGCAGTCACATTGAGGTAAAGTCTTACTGTACATCCTGTAGGGTTCTTCTAAACCACAGAGACACTAAGGTGAGGTGGAGGTGTGAGCAGATGTGAGAGAGGTCTGTGAACCTGCACAGGGCTTCTCTAAACTCACTTAATTCTACAAACCACAGTTTCACATCGACACCACATCTTAGATTTTAGATATAATGCACTAGTTATTCAAGTTACATCTGCTGACAAAGCAAAAACAGCAAACACTTTATTCCTTTCTTCAGTTTTAAAAAAGACACTCATTTACAGTACATCTCCAAACACTTTTGTCTCAGGACAGAAATATATGCAGCTATGGCACATTTTCAAAGTAATCACAAAGCGTTTGGCTTAGGGTAAACAGGTTTTACAGAAAGATTTAAGCATATGAATGAAAAAGTTCAAATACTTAAAGAATAATAAATATTGCAAAAACAAAACCACCATAAATATAATAAATAGAAATAAATAAATAATTAACTTAAACATCCTTGAAACTAACTCCTTCATGGGTCCCAGCTTCCTGTTACATGTGACATTTCGAGGGCCATTCAAAAGATAAAATTGTATGAAATTGTTAACTGTTATGGCAATACTCCAACTTTTCCATTATTCTGAAACCCATGGACTTCACTCTTCTCACAGGTCTTTATAGAACACCTTTGTGAGCGGGTATCCCATGAAACCTCTTTCTGGACTTTCTAATTCTACTTCTTTGTCATCGTCCTCCTCTTCGGAATCTCCCAGAATCCGAAAACCCAACTTCCTAAAGAACACCTCTCCCACTTTGGAAGGATATGGGACATGTGCGTAAACTCTGTGAGCTCCAGCATCTCTCTCTTTCTGCTGCAGACTCTGGACCAGCAGTCGACCCAAACCTTCTCGTCTGTACCAGGAGCTGACCACCACTCTGCAGATTCTCCTGATCCCGGGTCTCCTCTCACTCTCTCTGAAGATGCAGCCCTGAATCTCTCCATCGCACTCAGCCACCCACACCTGCCCTGCCGCCTCCGCTCGCTCTGGGCTGATCGTCTCTGTCGAACTGCTCTTCTCTTTGGCTCCTAATCTACGTCTGGGCTGGGAAAAAAAAAAAAAAAAAAAAGATTATTATTAGGTTGATTTTGTTTCCAAAGGTACAACTCAACAGTGTCACTTATATTGTGCTTTCCTTCAATCCAATGGGCATTCAGAGAGCTTTACATTAAGGACTAACCCAGGGGTGGGTAATCATTTTGGAGGGCCAGGACAAAATGCTTAACTCAATTCTGCATTAATATTAATTTTTAAAAAAAGCAGCAAATAGCATTGTATTGACAAGCTGGTAAGACTGGTAAGACTTTATGTTATGACTAAGCGGTGAAAAGGTGAGGCTGCCTTACAAAAATGTCATTAAAGAAAACACCTCCAAAATAAAAGCAATGCAGATTTAGTCCATGCACAAGGTAAAATTATAAAATATGTTTATTTTGTAATTCCAAATGATCTTAAATGGGCTGTCCTATGCACAGGTCTGCACTAACCCTTTCAAACATACACGTTATAAAATAGTGTATGCAATCACATCTTTTTTTTTTTTTACATTTTATGTGAAAGGTCCATCAAAAATAAAATGTAGTTTTACCTTTACCCTTTTTTTATACTATGCTTTTTAAGATAAGTTTATTGTATCATGTATTTTGTAACAATTGCTGTGCAGTGATTAAGGATGTGCAAAAATATCGATATATCGTATTTAATGTGATGACACAGTATCAATATTGGGGACTGCTGTATCGATATATCACCAAGAATATATTTTGGTATACTTTACTAAATTATTTTCTTACAGCGCAACAGTTTTGTTGTTTGTGTAGAGGAAGGAAACTTGTTTATGCAACACATTTGACATTTTCACTGTCTTGATTATTAAAATGTTTGTGTTTCATATGAACTTAGCACAAGAAGTGGTTTCACAAAGACTTTTAGTATCACAGCCACGATTTAGCCTTTATTTTTTATTGAACCATATTTCTTTAAGGGATGCCTCCTCCCTGAGTAAATTTTACTGGATAGTATTATAGGAAAGATCTGAAACAAGGACACCCTGAGATACAAAGAGAGCATGGACTCCACACGAGGGCCACCCAGCTTGGAACATTAACAAAAGTTAATACGGTTAAGATAACATGTGTGCCTATTCAGCAGGAAGTGAGGTCCCAAATCTAAATAATCACAAAAATACTGACCTTTCTTGTTGTAGGCGTCTTTCCACTGATTCGACAGTACGGGTTTGGCAGAGTTTCCTCCTGTGAGTCTCTGTAGGCACTGCCAACATAGTCCCAGGACGGCCGACTGCTGCCCAGAACCCCGACTGACCGCGGCATGGTGATCTTTAGAAAGACAATGAGCAGGAAGACTGGGATAGCAAGAGCCAAGATGAACGAGTGAACCAGACAACGTAAGATGGAGGAGAAAACAGCCAGAATAAACAGGCAGAGCGGTCGTGTCAGAATATGTAGAATCAGACGGTTTTCATTTCCCTCACAGCCCTCCTGTAAACACAGATTCACAATGAATTAATGTAGGGCAGGGAGTTACGCCAAAAAATGAAGATCACAATTTTCTTAGGGCCAGAGAATGATTTCAAATGTATCACAATTCATGTTTTCCTTGTACCTTTTACACATTTTTAAGAGGTAACTAAACCCATCTACTGTTTCTGAAAGTTAACTCTGCACTGTGATTGGTTATATCCACCTGGCACTCGCTCAGAGCATGATGGAGACTGACCAACAGGAGGAGGAGGTGTTGTAAAGTGTCTGTTTTTGACAATATATATGCTACTGGCCAAAAGTTTTAGAAAGGTTTTTAGAACACCGCGCTTTTTCCACTTTTTCCAGTTCATCCCAAACCAGCTCAATGGGGGTTTTAAGTCTGGAGACTGTGCTGGACACTCCATATTTTCAAGCTTTACCATTTTGTTCTTGTTTCCTGAGGTAGTTTTGGCAGAGCTTGAACTTGTGTTTTGTTATCTTTTATCTTTTTTTTTTTTTTTTTTTTTTTTTTTTCAATGTCTGGCTGTTCAGTACTTACATTTGTACCATTTCAGTCTCTTCATTGGACTTGCACGACATGAACTGCAATAAATAACTGGAAAAATTAGTGTGTTCTAAAACTTTTGACTGGTTTCGTACCTGTATTAGACAAAAAAGCATGGAATTACGATATGGTGATTTTGCCAAAATAGCATATCATCACAGGAATGAGATCATGATTTGTTTTGTATCTCCATATTACTCTGCCCTAGATTAAAGGTTGTATAGAGGATTTTCCAAGGAATGAGAAATCCAGCGACTGTCGTTTTTCAAATGTTGCGCATGCGTGAATTGTTTGGTAGACATGCAAATTAGAATACTAAGTATGTTCTAAATATAAAAACTACTAAAATGTTATAAAGCAAACTGATCAAAATAAAAATTAAACTCACTTTAGTCTATTAAAGTGATACATATATATATATATTTTTTTTTACAATTCTTTTACTTAATAGTTGAACCTCAATCAAAAAATGTAAGCATGTTTTAGTAAATGTTTTTGATGGGTTGCCAACTTGCTATGTCATTATCGCCCTACAATAGATATTTTAGTTCCAAAATGAAACAACCTACAGTGCCATAACATAGGTTGTGTTCACATCTGGTTTTATTCTGTCGTGTGTGAACGCAGACGTCATTTACCTTAAGTTAACTCACCTTGATAAGGGCTTTGACCATCTCGATATCTTCCTCCTTCATCCTCCTCATCACCACCTGATCCAACTCCAGTCGAACCATTTTGTTTGTTGAGGTTTGACGACCAAAGAATTTATGGGCTCATCGTAAACACTCTCCCCAAACTGTGGAAAATCTGGAGACAAGAATCTAGTGTTATATCATGAATTCAAGAATAAGTCTAGACATAAATCGTTCTACAGTTACAGTTTAATGACAACTGTGTACCTGTTGGTTTAATACATGATGGTAATTTAACTTAATATGAGTATCCACAACATAGTTGTTTGTACACTTAACTGTACCACATTTGGACACACTGTGCTCTTTGTTAAAGGACAGATTTTTAGTAATAATGTGGACTGATGAGGGTGATGTTCTGGAGTGAATGAAATGAATGATGACTTTGATAAGGATGATGTTTTTAAGAAGCTGAGAGAACTGGGTGTGAATGAGGATACAGAATTGTTATGATGCTCCAGACATTATAAAGACATTCTCTTTGTATGTTTGATTTTACAAACTATAACATCAACCTGCCCAGGGACTATAGGTGGAAATTAGCACTGGCGCTATAACCTGGTACAATGCATCTCTCCTGTTAAGGTTAATCATCTCATTAAATAAATAAACTAAACTAAACTAATATACTGTCCCTGTTAAACACAATAAATTAATAAATGTCTGTATAAACCCTAAGTCTTCTTGGTAGGATAAGTAGCAAAAGAAAAACTCAATTCTGTCAACTGGACAAAAGGGAAAATTGATAAATAAAACACAAATCTTAAACTTCTGCCTTCTACAGACACTTTTAACATCTGAATGGCCCACAAGCTTAAATCTGTGAAATGCGTCAGACCTTGCGATAGAAATGGAGTCCTAAATATAAGACAGTAATGTATTTAAATAGTATATAGTCCAGTTTAGTCCTGTCCCAGATACACTGACCAAACCGTGGGGAAGCGTGTCATTTAATCCTTGGGGGTTGTGTCAACACGCTGTGCGCTATGGCTACATGTTTTAGCACAGTGCCTATTATTCCGCAAATACGCACCTTTTCAAAGCGCCTCTTGTGAATCCATCGTCTTGAACATTTGATTGAATAAATACAGCCCGTTATAGCGCAAATAGGGCACGCAATTCCGCAGGGGAGCGCAGTCTTTTGCAGCTCGGTCTCTGTCGCTGTCTGCTGCACGTTTACGCAATTTACGTAATCAGCACGCGCGCCTACGTAAAGCGCCGAGAATGCGGGAGATACGCACAAACTGCACCTCCGCAAAATAAATAAAATAAAATAAAAATAAACTATTCTATTCAGGTAACCCAATAATATACCAATAATATAATTTTAAAATAACTTTTACTTTTAGTTCGGTCTTTTCCACGTTGGTTTTCTTCTTTTGCATAATTTCCTCGTCAATCGACTTTTCTTCTCTTACTTGAGTTGAGTGGCCCTCTATGGTTTTTTTATTTATTTATTTTTATTTTATTGGCATTATTTATTTATTATATTCTCTGTTTTTTTTTTTTTTTTTTTTTTTTAAATCTTATTTTATTTTACTTGTGTTATTTTTTTTAAGATTAATTATATGTGAGGGTTTATTCTTACTGTGTATTTGTGCAGGACTTTGGAAACCGTTTATGAAATGTACTATATAAATAAACTGGATTGGACTGAAACCTTTTACAGGTATGAACAATTAGTCAGAAATCACATTTTGGCAATCTGATAATGTCAGAAGTAAGATGATTGGATCTTTTGTGTGCAAACATAGCCAGTGTCAGTGTGATTACAAACTAAATCATGATCAAACCTAAAAAAACACGCACCAGGGACTAAGAGTGGAAATTTGTTCTAGTGCTACAACCTGGCACAATGCATCTCTCCTGTTCAGGTTAATGTCTAATGTGCACTGTCCCGGTCTCATGAATAAACTAAATAAATGAATCATAAATCATAAACACATGTGTATTTGTTAGCACTGTATTATTCAGAATCATCAGTATTAATATTTTACATTAACATAGCCTATAACCATGATACAAAGTGTACACTTATTCACAAAAATCAATAATAAACAACCTGCCAATGACAGAATAATTTATAGTAATATATTAATTTTCCTATTACAAAGTCCATGTACAGCCTATGTAAATGTATAACATTTCTATGGTGGCCCATGGCATTTCAACACACAGTCTAATATGATGCATGTTCTTCAGGAGGCCACACACACTGACTAAAGTGCTAAACACAGACCTGGTTCACATGCAGAGTCAGACTGGTCTATTTTGGGTCTTCTAACATCTGTTTTCCTTCATTAACCGTAGACTCTAGTTCCTTTGTATCCATTTTTATATTCTCACATTGGATTTCGTTGTTTGTGATTTTCCCACCTCCTACCGATTCTAGTCTATTTTCCATGCCACTTGTATTCACCTCAATTATAACAATCTCATCTCCTCCTTCTAGCCGAAATATGCCTTCCATTGCTCTTTCATGCTGGTTAACTGTGTGACCCGTAGCCTCACTATCTCCCGCGTCTCTTTCAATCAGTGCTATCATCTGCATCCCCTCTTCTTGCTCTTGTCCTATCTTTGCATCCCCTTCCAGTTCAAACACCACCTCTTGTCTGTCTAGCGATCCCAAATCTTGGTTTGATGTGCAAGTTAGTTTCAAGCTATTACTGGCTTGCTCTTGGTGGAACTGAGCTTCATTTGCTGTTGTGTTCTGGTCCTCAGAGTGAAAATGCAGAACGTATTCTCTTTCGTTTCCTTCAGCTTGCTTATCGCTGCTTTTTTCATCACTCCAGTTTTGCAAAAGCGACATTATTCTACCTTTATCGCCTTTCTTGTCGTCTAAATCTTGATCTGTATTGAATTGCAACAAAAGAGATTTACCTTGTTTACCAATGTCTTCACCTATAGATTGGCCTGACGCTTCCCCCTCGAACTGTAACATGTACGACGCCCCGCCTCCTCCCACGTTCATTGCATCCTTTGTTAAACCTTCATTGTCAAAACATAAAACAAATTCTTTACTTGATACCTGCTCTTGAACTGTCATTTCTGAATTGGTTGGAATAGGTGTTGAAATCGGTGAAATTGTTTTCGTTTCTGTGGACAGCCTCAAGCTCTCTACAGATATCGGTACTTGGGCTGGAATTTCGTTAGGTACTGAGGTTGGAGAAGGCAGTGACGGCTCTGTAGTGATGTTAGTTGCAGTTTTATTTAAAGAATTGTCGGATGAAAAACTCGCAGCTTGTTCTCTCTTCTGTTCTGCAGTTTTGCTTTTACGCCCACGTTTATTCCTAGCAGTCCTCGTGCTTTTTCCCAATATAGGTTTAGAGAATATTGAATTAGGTGGCAGTGTGTGCGTTGGTGCCATTACAGTTTCTTTTGCATTGCTTTTGCTTTTTGTGAGAATGAACTGTTGCGGTGGTTGTAACTGATTCTGAAATTGCGGTATTTGGTTTACAACAGGCTGCAGAGTTTGAATTGTCTGTAGCATTGGCAGGGCTTGCGATTCGGACGCTGTCGGGACAAGAATCAAGTTCGACTGACCGCCATTATTAGAGGGACACTGCAAAAGGAGGTAGTTCTGTGGAGGAGGGGGCGGAGGGGGAGGAGGGGTAGGTGTTGGAGTCGAAAGAGGAATAAGCTGGAGACCATTGACTGTCTGAATCATGAAATAGTTCTGAGACGAATTTGGGGGAATATTCAAGGCTGGTTGCGACACAATCAAACTCCCATTGTTTGCTGAAGTTTCCAAGGTGATAGGGTTAAGAAGGGTTGTGGTTGTGGTAACCCCACCCACGTTAGCTTTCACCGCCACTCCGTCCTTAGCTCCTCCACTGGGTGCAGTGGGGGTATTGGTGTGGGTTCGGATGTGGCGCTGCAGGTAGGATTGCATGACAAACTCTTTGGAACAGTAGGGGCATTTGAAGTCCTTCTGGGTGGAGTGAGTGCGGAGGTGCAGCTGGAGGTTGGATGAGTGAGTGAAGCTTTTGTTGCAGGTCGTGCACTGATAGGGGCGCTCTCCGGAGTGGGTACGCTCATGCTGAGAAGGGAAGAGAAAGAGGAGAGGAGAGACGGAGGGTCGGGTAAAGAGAGGAAGAGGGGAGGAATAAAGGGAGAGATAGAGGGGGAGAGAAGGAAAGACTACATTAAATTCATACAACAGCAATTCTCACACATTTCTGTGACAGATTCAGTCTTTTCAATTATTGTCTCTCAACTATTTGAGTAGAAATGTCACTTGGGGTTGTGGCTGCAACACACATGCTGAGCAATTCGCTGGCCTCAGCACTGTGATAGTGAATCCTGTTCCAACTGTTTGCCTCAAACAAAGCCACAGTGGGTTTCAAAACATCATGAAACATTACGAATCAAATGTTTCTCATGATTTTTTTTTTCTAAAGTTGTGCTACCCGCCCTTCACTTTCACATTTGTCCTGTGCTATAAAGGTTACGGGAAAGAAAAAGACGTATGGGCTATGTTTATCATATTTATCTTATTTAAAAGGCCTGTACCTGATTTTGACCCCATGTATTTGAGCAAAATTACTTTTGAAACAGTACAGATACATTGTTTAAGCAGTCTGTATCTAGTAATTAAATGCTTTCTTTTCTGCCAATCTGGAAATGCGCGGCAAGCATGCTAGTTGTTGTTAGCATGACCATAACAGCAAAAATCCACTCTGGCCTCTGAAAGTTGTGAACAGTGCTTAGAAACTCATCACGGTGAATAATTAGGATGCTCAGAATGCAAATGGTAAGTGAGGAGTAACTTTGGACCCCTGCAAACTCTTTAAAATTAACTAGTTAAAAATCAAGTATATCGCCTTTAATATTTAAGCAGATTGGTAATATAGTGACTTTTTGTTATACCAATTTATTGCATGTATGGTCTAGTACCTGGTAAACACTGCACAGCGTTGTAAGATGAACACAAACCCACCTGTTTGAGATTTGACGTTTGGGAGAATGACTTGGAGCAGATGGGACATGTATGTGGCCTCAGACCTGAGTGCATCTGACTGTGCCTGCGCAGACAGCTGGTGTTTTTGAAGGACTTTCCACACTCCTTACACACGTAGGGCCGCTCTCCTGTGTGCTGCCTCAGGTGGTACTGATAGTGTGAGCTCCATTTGAACGTGAGAGGACAATGGGGACACTGGAACGCCCGGACTCCTGTGTGTACCTAAGGGGGATGAAGACAGGATAAATTACAGGCATTTCGCTTAAGGGCAGGGTTTATGCTTAATTATCTTTATTTTTAAAAAATCAAATACCAATAAATTAAATGTTGATAGACAGGGCCGTGATTTTATTTTTGAGTTAACCGCATAATCGAAAATGTGACAAATCTAAAAGCTACTGGCACTGCTTCTATATAAATGCAATTCTTAATTGCAGTCCCAAATTTAAGATCCATAACGTAACCACAATCAAATTCTTAACCAATTTACATTTACAATTGCAGTTTTAAATGTGCAGACTGAAACTCTCATGAATATAAAGAAGAGGGAACCACTTGTGGCTTAAACTTAGTTATTTTTAAAGTTCACAAGACAAGACCATTCCCTAATTTTTACTTTATTTGTAGCTATAATACCTGTTGTAAATATTATAGTTTTACATACTGACCAAGAATCAGTTTGTGAAGAAAATTTGAAAAATATGTTGAAAATGACAGGACATTCCACATACTATAGTTGTATTATTGTTGTTGTTCAGCACTTCCGTAAGCTTTAGCTGTTTTAAATGTGCTTTATAAATAAACTTTGATTGATCTGATATTTAAGATCACACCAGGGAGAATTCTAAAATCTAGAAATCCAAAAGTTAGGCACAATTTATACTTATTTGTCAAAAAATAATCTCTGTGTACATTAGAGAAGTTTTCTACTATGGTTGCAAGGTAATAGTTTTGGAATTCCCAAGTGTGATGTCATGATTTCCAACCAGGAAATAAAGTCTGAATCCTAAAAAATGTCCAAACTAGGAAAGAACTGTTTTAGTAAAATGTGTAGCCCAACCTGTCAGAGACACTTTAAGAGTCTTTATGATATGGTTACTTTGTTTTTACTCATGTATAATTTAGACCGTTTATAGACTATAGATGTGTGTGACAAGTCCTTACCCTCTGGTGGATGGAGAGCAGAGAGGAACGTTTGAAGCTCTTGCCACACTGCAGCGGTAGGGTCGTTCTCCTGTGTGATCTCTCATGTGGTACTTCAGACCAGAGGAGCCTTTAAAGGCCTTTCCACACTCTGAGCAGCGGTACGGCCTCTCTACACCACCGCAAACACACAGGAAATCATGATTCATCAGTGTTAAATAGAAATACTCTTAGAAAGTCATAGTAAGGCAATACAGTTATTAAAAAGTGTATGTGGTACACTGTTATTATTCCAAATTAATGAAAAAATAAATAAATAAATAAAAGGGCAATTGTTTTCGCAAAAAGTAATTAATAAATGATTCCAACAGTTTCATATAATTGTGATTTAGAGTTACGTAATTGTAATCGCTTTTAAACAGCCACTTTGAATGAGTGCTATGCTAACAAAACGTTAATTTTTGACGATATATTGTTTCACTATCAAGGTAAGGTTAGGGTTGGGATTAGGTTTACGGACAGGTATTTTGTTTATGGTTAGGACTTTGGAACAGTTTAATAACCGGGTCTTGGCGGAACTGTGTTGGGAAAAACTCACAAAATCCTTGTTTGCATAATGTTGTCATCACTACTATCTATTTATTTAGCTGTATAAGACAACTTGGATATTGTAAACGTTACTTTGTTTGCATCTACTTTATGGTCTTCAAATGATGTCCTGGATACCATTTAAAGGGTCCATATTATGGAAAATTGACTCTTATGAGCTTTAATGTCATAATGTTGTTACCTCATCGTAAAGATACCTAGTGTTTTTTGTTTCATTCTCACGTTTGAGTAACACTACACCTCCAAAGCTCTACAAGGTCTGTTCCACCTTATGACGTCATGAAGCAGTAGTTTTATCAGCTACCTTGTAACCTCAGTTCAGCAGAGATTGGCAATTAGATGTCTTAAATTATCCAAATGATTCTAGTGAAGGTGTACGGAGTTTAAAAACACAATTGAGCACTTCCTGTATTACTGCATGACATCACAAGGTGGAACTGAGTGTTTTCTGTATGAGAAACTCCTAAATATGCAGGATTTGTGTGTTAAATGTGTTAATGTCACAAAACACAACTCTAGGTGTTTTTGATGAGTAAACAACATTATAACAGATCAGAAAACAGTAGGGATGTAACGATATCCAAATCTCACGATTCGATATTATCACGATGTACATCTCACGGTACGATATTCATTGCAGTATTTTGAAGAGGCTAATATAATTGTAGATGAGACACTTTTTTTGCTTTCAAAATACCTTGACAAAATTTTGGTGTGACTTATTACCGTCATAATCCCAAGAATTCAAGTAAAAATATATATTTCTCTGTGTTGTTTGCACTGAAATTAATCATGGGATATGTAGTTCCCTATAAGCTGTTGAAACTATAAAACCATGCATTTAAGCAAAGGAACTTGTGATTCGATATTATTGTGAGACTTTTGCCGATACGAGATTTCAGTTATTGTTACATCTCTAGAAAACAGTGTAATATAGGCCTTCTATATTACACTGTGAAGCGCTATTTTATATCTATATTAAATTGGTTTACCTCCAGCCACTGTGCTTTTGCCCCCTGCCTTCTTCAGTGACTTGAGTGGCTTGGATTGCTGTTCTTGCTCTTCACCGACAGTAATGATATCAACACAGATTTCCCTTTGTCCCTCCTGCTGTTTGTCAGTTTGACCAGGAGACGAGGGAAGGGGCAGGGACAGGGACAGTGAAGGGGGACACACGATTTCAGCCTCTGCTTCGGCTAAAAGTCTCTGCTCCGGGGTGTGGGAGTGCTGGTGGGTAAGGAGGGAGGAGAGGAGGGGGAAGGAGCGGTCACAGGCTGAGCAGCTGAACTGACAACGGGACTGTGATGTCAATGTGTGCATCTGAAACACAAGATAATATGTGGAAATTAGAGTGGTCAATCAGGGTTTGGGTGATACCGTAAACAAAATAGATGCAAATATGTAATACTGATATACTTGACAAAATACTTAAAGATGGGGTATTACACTAAATCCACTTTTTTTTTTAAACTTTCTACCATGTTCTAACATTCCCTCATCAAAACACGTCTGAAGTGGTTTTCTGAATCATTCGTGCATGTTTGAGCGATCTTGTGGTCTTTCACGGGCCCTATTCAAACCCTCCTTACGGTTAGCCCTCCCCTTACAGAACAGCAAGACCAGCAAGAGGTAAAATGGTGATCTAGATATGTTACGCGTTAGCAATTAATATAGAAATGTAATACCCCATCTATAAAGTTGGCATTTAGAATAGCTGAACTAACTTGTTTCAGGCTATTTAAGTTATAGAAGAAGTTAGACATTCCCCTCGTGTCCTTTCTCTGTCATTGTTTGTGTTTTTAGTATCAGCAGAGCCTCCACATTCAACACTGGTTAAGCTGCTCCGCTGAAAGCAATAGCAACAGCTGCAATCTATCTGTCTCTCCTCGTAACTGAGAGGATCAGCTGTGGTGCTCTTATTTGCAATGATATTGTAATATTTCAATTTACATATTGCCTCCAAAGCAAGATATTATCATGAGCTATATGATGATGATGGCCCAGCTTTATGATAAACATACAACGTATGCTTTCTTTATACCTGGTTTGATCCCAGTTTTGGTTTAGTCCTAGTCTAGTCCTAGCCTGATTCATCAGCTGGTTTCACTTTGTGGAAACCTTCTGACCTCGCAGCATTAGGATTCGTTCGCTTGACGGTAAGCGGGTACTTTTTTTATTTAACCAATCGCTGCTATTTGGTCGTGACATATGTAATGCACCAGAACGCTCAGTGATGTCCAAGTAATTACCGGCACAACAGCAAAGAAAGCAGAGAGTGAAAATCCTTGATCTCGGGAATTGTTGAGAACACAGAATGTATGGCTTCGTCTACATCCATCTCTACCGCTTTGTTTACTGTTATGCTGTACCACAAAAGAGACCAAGATAGGCGCTGCGTTAGATGTCATGGCTTCACAGCTGTTCGCTGATTGGCCGGTGCGCGGTCTACAACTTCCGGAGTTCTTGGAAACTGTCTAGTGTATTCCGATTCCTGACCTAGTCGCTGGAGAGAAATAAAATTGAGTGGGGACACTAGGTGGCATCAGTCTGGCTAGTCTAGTCCAGGATTAATTCAGAATTTTGTCCAAATTTTGCTTTGGTCTATGTGCAAGTGTGAATGCACTCAGGGATAGGTCCTGTTTTAGTCCACGTTTAGTTCTAGTCTAGGTTTAGTTTCGGATTATGTCCCATTTTAGTTACTTCTGATATTACTCATGTATACTTAGTAGTTTTGCATTGCGTTTTATGGCGCAAAACTAAAGATTTTTTTTTTTACAGTTCACAGTTCACTTCAATGTGATTTGTTATATCCACCTGTCACTCACTCATGCCTGATCAATAGGAGGAGAGTGTGGGGAAAATGTCACTAAAATAGCAGATCATTCCAGGGATCACATCACAATAAAGTTCTATGTTATATTATGTGGTGTACATAGCTGTGTCAATGTTGGCGTTGCAGTGGTAAACTTCTCACCAGGGAGACATGTCTGTTGAGGCCTCCACTGGTTTTGAAGCTCTTATTGCAGTAGCCACATGACAGCCCTGCCCATGTGGTTCTGGGCTCCGGCTGCACCGTCTCTGAGCTCTGAGTCACCGCTGTCAGGCTCTGCAGAAGGTCGAACTGGGTCTGGGTGGCTCCCACATTCTTGGGACAAACAAAGTAATGCACATAAACAAAGGAGAGTAGTATTTATATTCTTGTGTGAATTATTTTATATGCATGATGACATATAACTATATATAACAAATCCCAAAACGTAGTGAATAAAAACATTTCCATAGCACTGTCGGCCTCCCCCATGCCTGTACTTACACTGTTGTTGCTGTCTGTAGTCTCCGTTAGCCCGAGCAGCACTTCTGCAGTTTGTCCGTTTTCAGAGACTGTAGTTGTCTCCACCACTTCTTCAAAGTCTGCAAGCAGGTGCCCGGCCCCCATCAGCCCCTCGCCCACCTCCATACTCCCCGCCGGGCCAGTCTCCACTACGGGTGCAGGCTCTGGGGTCATGTGGATGGACTGATGCTCCTCCAGCTCAGTCCTGGTGCCAAAGGTCTGGCTGCAGCTGCCACAGCTGTACAGCAGCACACTAGCCCCAGTGTCTGTGCTCAGGTGGACCTCTGTCCCTATGGGCCTGGACGAGCGGCCGTCTGCCCCAGACGTGGTGAGGGTGAGCTGGGGCAGAAGCCCAGGGGTCTGGCTGCTGGAGCCAGTGGACAAAAACACCTCCTCCATCCCCACAGCAACTCCTTCTGCTCCTTCTTGGCTCACAAAGCCAACCATATCCGTCAACATGGAGGATGTCACCTCCTCTGGACCTACCACTATCTCAACTACACTATTGCCCTTTTGTGCATCTGGTCGCTTTGTGTCCTTTGCTGCATTACTGGAGTTTGAATGGGAGTTTTTATGCAGTGCGAGGTTGGATGAGTGGGTGAAGCTTCGCCCACACTCACCGCAGACGTAGGGACGCTCTCCGGTGTGGATCCTCATGTGCTGCCTGAGGTTTGTGGACTGAGTGAAGGACTTGTTACAAACAGAGCAGGTGTACGGCTTCAACCCCAGGTGCACGTTCTTATGCCTACGTAGACTGCTGGAGTTTTTAAAGGCCTTGGGGCAGGAGTCACAGGGATAGGGGCACTCGCCTGTGTGCTGGCGCAGGTGATATTGGTAGTGAGAGCTCCATTTGAAGGTCAGGGGACAGTAAGGGCATAGGAAGGTCCGCACTCCAGTATGGACACTCTGGTGGACCTGAAATATTCACAGATGTTAGAATTAAATGAAAACAAAGATATGGTTTAGTAACAAACAATTGTTTACCTGCAACAGAGAGGAACGTTTGAAAGCTTTTCCACAGTCCTGACATTTGTATGGCTTCTCACCTGAATGGGATCTAAAAAAAAAAAAAAAAAAAAAAAAAGACAAATATTTTAAATTGTTTACATTTCTATTCTTTCCCTTAGTTTCATAACAATACTACACTGGCACAAGCTTTTTCCATTGGTATAGTTACAGAGGTTGGTGGTTTAGTTTGATGCCTATGCATATTATTGTTGTGTCCTTGGGCAAGTCATTTCACTAGGGCCCGTGAAGCATCATCTCTGAGTGGAAAAAGTGGGCGCGACTGTGTACAAACAGTCTAGTGCTCTGCATCTGAGCAGGCTGCAGTCCCTCTGGAGATGCATGTTTGTAAGGACTGTAGTGTGTGATTGATTGTCAGCGTTTGGCGGTACAAATTGGTTGCCATGCTTCAATCTGTGACTATAGATCAAGCTTCCCTCCATGATGAAGTATGGAATGAATACGGCATGAACTTTGAGCATCTACAAAAGTGCTCAATAATAACAGTTGAAGCCAAAAGTATCATACCAATGTATTGTTCATCTTATTCTTTATACAACTATGCGGGAGGAAATTGGACACTAAAGTGACTCTACAGTTTTCTTCTGTGTCAGTGGGAAAAGCTGCTATTCAAGGGTTTCAGCTTTCCAATTGTAGATGCAATTTGAGGACTTGACCATTCAAAAGATAAAATATTAAGTTGGATAACTGCTACCTTTGATGATAGAGCAGAGCAGAGGAGCCCTTAAAGGCTTTGGGGCAGAGGTTGCAGCGGTAGGGTCGCTCGTTGTTATGACTTCGCTGGTGATGCGTGAGTCTGGATGACCACCGGAAACTCTTGCCACAGTCCAAGCACTGAAACGGGTGCTCTGCCTGCTCCGTTTGCACTGCCCCCCCTGACGCTGAAGAGGGTGCTACGTCAAGAACCACCTCTCCGCCACTCTCCACACCTGTTTTGTCTTCATCCACCAGGTCTCCTCTCTCCCTCTCGTCCTCCCCCTCTTCCCCTGAACCAAGGAGGGATGGGAACGGGGACTGGGGTGGCAAGAGGTCAGTTTGAACCACTAGTGCCACTGAGTTTGCCATTTTTAAGAACTCAGGCTGTGGCAGAGAGACTAATTTTTGGTTATGTTATTCCAGTGTTACTATTCATTCATCCAATTCCACCACTTTCAATAGACTCCTTTGTGTTTGCCATGTGGGACTCCTCCAGGCGACTTGGGAAAGGCCTGAAATAAAACAAACAAAGTCAAAATGTAATTACTTTGAATCTAGATTTTGTTGCAAGCATTCATTTACATGTAGACTTATAAATTTGCCTTCTCAATTAATTTCAGCTCAAGTTTATCCTGGGATGAACTGTCAAATTTTGAAAACATGCACAACAAGCACTTCTGACCAAGCCTGGCTCAAGATCTAGAGATGGGTCCCTGGGTTCAACTTTGCAAATGCCCACAGTTCCTGACAGATTGTTCCAGAGCTATTGAAGGACAGATTTTTCCAATAACACATATTTTACAGCTGAAAATTACGAGTTTTAGTGTCTTACCTCCATAGATCTGACTTGTAACTTGACCTGTGGAGTCACTAATTTCTAATTTCCATGGAGATAAATCAGTTTAATAACATACTGTGGGGCAGGCCAGGTAAAGGAGTCCCTGGAGACAAGTTAGTTGCAACCTCCACCAGAAAAAGTTGTATCTTTAATGTGCACTGCATGTTATTACCATCTTTGTTTTGCAATATTTTAGAGTAAGTCCCTCTACGGACCTAGTGTTTTGTGCCCATAATGAAGTTTTAACAAATGAAAAACTAGGTGAAACGTATAATATAACTTTAAATGTCCCTCCCTCCTTCCAGTCCTGTGCGCTCTGCTCGCCCTCCTCCCTGCTCCTCTCCCTCTCCTGGCTGTCATTCCCTCTGTGACCATCCCCGCAGTGCAGCAGTAGGCACCACAAACAAACCCATATCTCACATTTTCACAGCATTTCGTGGCGCTCAATCTAACCCCATAACATAAAAGAAGTACATCCAAAAATGGCACAAGTTTTACGCACAGTATAAACAATTCAGTGGCCTGTATTTCAAAGCTAATCGCGACCCATCGAGCAAATAATCGCTGCTAAAACTGCCAGTAAGAATGCAGTTTGCGCACAGAGCCAGCACTTACCGAGCATGTTTAACTTATCTTACACCCATAGCGGTCCTCATTAGAAATTGGACAGGGTTCCGCAGTGCTAATCCACACAACCTTAACAATAAACACAGCGCAAACTAACCAGCAGTCCTCCGCCCGACACCGCCTCCCAAGAACAGCGCCGCGGATTGGCTGTCGTCTGTAGTTAAAGCTTTACAATGATTGGATAGAAAAGTCCATGGCTAGATTGACATTTTATAGTTTTCATCTCCAGAGAGCACAAATATTTAGTACTTATGCTATAAAATAACACATACTTATAATAAAAGTATATAGACCTGTTATTTCATTAGGACAAAAGCAGACTCTTGAATTTCCTGTACTTATAGAAACCATTAGCACATTGGTTTTGAAACTTTACAGACAAAGACGTTTAACATCTAATAAAATATTTAGCCTTGTGAGTACCACACACAAGACTAAACCATGTCTAAAAATAGGACTATAGCATATGTAGGTCTACCACAATTTGAGAAGCACAGCATTAATAAAACATTCCACATTGCTTGAGCACATTCATTTATTTCATTTCAGCAAGGCACATTTCACATTAAGGCCAATCAGTGTGTGGAAGAGGCATTTGATGTTACAATAATAATTTAAACAGGATGGTAGTAAATAAGAATAAAAACTGTATAAAAGTACAAAAGGACAGGAGACTCGCTCCACTGCAGTCAAAATAAATAGCTCCACCAAAGTTCTCAAATAAATAGCAATACTGTAACAAATACTTGGAAAGAATAATCAAAATTATAGTGATAAGAATTCTACAAGATATTGTAGAAAATAACATACTACACAAAGCACTGAATGCAATTTCAATTTTACACTCATGTACATATATGTACAGAACAGTGTCACAATACATAGTATTTTAAGGCTTTGGGTGTACTTAATATTTATCATAAAAATACTTTTTCTACCCCAAAGCACAGGTTAAAAATCAGCCAAAGGCCAATCTCAACAAGTTTGTGCAAAGAATCCAGGTCCATCAGTGCTCAACATCTGGCCACATCATGCAACCTACCACAAAGTTCAGTATTCACTTCTTCATGATGCAGCTCAGTCATAAAATACATTTCAAAATGCATCATCAGGTTATTAAAAATATGGCACAGGGAAAACTAAATAAAATATACATTTTTTATCTTAAAATAGAAATAAAGGAGCTGGGAATTTGCAACAACTACTGGAAAAAAGTAAATTTTTAGAAATGTAATTAACAAGAAAGTAAAGATGTCAACAATATTGTGGGTAACCAAATTCACGTTAATCCAGAAATAAGAGAAACACGATACAATAATATGCAATAAATAACATTAAATAAATTAGATTAAAACATTAAATAAATAAATAAATATATAAATAATATCCCCAAGGCCTCCAGGAACAAGTCTGTGATTAAACTGGCAGTTCGGGTGCGTTTGAGTCTGACTTGGTAGCACAGTGTAGCACATCCATTCGACATTCTTCAATATACAGTACAATTTGGGCCAGTCCTGAGTCCCGTTAGCTGCATTAACTCATTGTGCTATGGACGAGTGGAGGAGGAGTCATCATTGGGACTGTGTGGTATTGGCAGAGAGTTTTGGTTTTAAACTGATAAAGGCTCTGTACGCCCAGTCACAAAACAGTTTAAAGTGTTGGAGCAGCTCGTGGGTGGACTGCAACACGTCAAAATGATACGGCAGGTGAGGGGGGAGAGACGGGGTCGCCGGGGTCAGCCTTGGTGCCTCAACTTTCTGCATCTGTTGTACAAACAAAACAAAACAAAAAACTCATAAATATCACACCACCTTGAGAATCCCCTATCTCATTCGATGTTGGCGGCTAAGCAAGTTTAGGTTAGTTAAACGGGAGACCGCAGGCGTCAGAGTGGGGCATAATGTCCTTGGACAAGACACTTCACACACCTTGCCTAGTATGTGGTGTGTGAATGAGTGATTTGTGGTAATTGGAGGGGCGGATACCTCAGATTGACCACTTTACTTCAGTCTGTCAATACAATAACTACAATACAAACTTACCACCGAGTGTGTAGAGTGAATGAATGATGCGAGGAATAAGAATATACATTTTAAGAACATGTTTGTAGACTAAACCACAGACGTAGCAGGTTTTCTACCCAGTAAAATCTCATGAAAATATGATGAGACTATAATATTACCTAAAAAGTTTAAGGTTTTGCTTTTTTTGCCATTCAAATTATGATTTTGATTTGATAGAAATATGTCGAGTGCACAGGTATAACAGAAAATTGCATGTTTTCTATGATAAATGCACATTGCAGACTATTGGAGGGCCCCTTTCGTGCATTAAACACCTACGCTTTACTCATCCAATTGCCCCTGATCTCCAGCGACTAAGAAAAGCACATTGTAAACATTTCACACAGACTGACCTGTCTATGCAGCAGGTTCATGAGAGATTTCATTTCCCTGATCATCTCCATGAGTTTGGGCAGTGCAGGGTGGTGGTGCTTCTTAGACACTCTGTTGAGCCACTCAAAATGGTGCTCGTACAGCTTCAGGTCGGCGTGCAGCTGAGTGAGGGTTGGCCTTAGCTGGAGACAACAGAAAAGTTTAATATGAGGGAACAGCATTTACAGATAGAAGACAAAAGAACCAGACCTAAAGGTGAACCATATAACTATATTCTGGTGGAGCTTGTCTCTATGGAGGTGCTGCATGGTACATTAAATTTAACTAACTCTATTGAGATAAACAATCGTACTAGGCAGTTACAGGTCAAATCTGTGGAGAGGGGACCCCACTCACAGTAAAAATTCATGTTTTCAAGTTATTTTTCTAGCAACAAAAACATGTATGATTGAATAAAAACAGATAGACAAAGCAATAACATCACCATGAAGCCCCGCAGGTGACAGAAAAGTGCACCTTTCATTTTAACAGACTTAATGGGGGAAACTAATGTGCAATTAATAACATTTTAATTGAGATCAAGATTCTGTTATTTGTAATTGTCAGGCTTTTTAGTTGAAAGGCCAATCCTCTGTCAGTAAAAGCATGTAATTTGAAGCTGAGCAATTTTGTTAAAAGGCCCTAAAAATAAGGTGATATTGTTGTTGTTTTTTTTGTCATATTTTTCAGCCCTAATAAAGGATCTGAGCTTTTTAAAGTGAATTACCTCCAGGTTGGTGAAGTCGTTGGCTGATCTGTTGCTCATTTCGGGCAGAGACCTGAACCGGTGCGGCTCCACCACTGAGTCAAAGGCGTGCTCCCTCTGAAAGAAAACAAGACCATGGGTTACACGGTGTAGCCAATGCACAAAGTATGAGACCAGTCAAGACAGAATACGGACAAGGGGAGTCAAACCAAACACTCAGATACTAATTGATAATATGATTTCAAAACTAGTCCTCAACAAGAAACAATACTAAAGAAACTGCATCAATGGGACCTTTTTCTTATTGTGGACATTGTTTAGTCCTGATTTAATCCTGGTTCACTGCCAAATTTGATGTGATGCATGTGAATGTGTGAACGCACCCATAGTCTGGTTTTGATCTATTTCAGAAGTAGTATACAACATGGTAATATAAAAGAAAGTACTACTATTTTGGGTTGAAATTTAAATTTTAACTATTGAACATTTGTCATTCAGTGTTGTGACTATCCATGTGTTTCAGAATTATGAGAAATTAGGATTGTTGCCATAGCTATTAACACTTTAAAACAAAATAATATCTCTTTTGAATGTGAAAAAGTACTCCAAAAGTTGCATAAAACAGGAAGCTGAAACCCAGTAGTATTCCTGTGTGCTCTTCAAGTATCAGACAGCCACAGTGAAAGGTTAAAGTTCATTCAAAGCATACAGTAAAAGACAGAGTTTATAGAGACAGTAGCTTTGAGTGAGGGCAGAGTGGTTCAAAGGGGTGAGTGTGAGTTCAGCCACATTCTAGCCTCCAAACGTCAACAATAAGCACAAATGAGCTGAAGCCACAGGGTGTTTTCTACTGAGGATAACAACATGTGCAGTGACCAAATCTGCAGTGGGACAGACAACGCAGGACTGGGGAAACTCCAGGGTCACCGCTATAAAAAGATGAGATGACGCAGTGCTGCAGCCTGGGTAGAGAGGAGCTGTGAACTGACGGCTCTAGTCTGTATCTCTTTTCACGAGGGTTGTCAAAAGTATCGAAAATCAGATACTAATTGATATTAAAACTAGTGTCAGAACTAGATACGCGTTTGAACAGGTGTTGATGCTAAAAAAGTCACGTTCACGGGGCAGAAATGAACCTTTCCTGAATAGTTTTAGAACTATCTTGAACTGTATCAGAACAAGTTTAAGACCAAATAAACTCTACCTGGATGACTGAGGGATTACACAGATATAAGACCACGTATTTAATGTTTAAAATCTCATTCAATTGTCTAAAGAAAGGGTGTTTTTTTATTATTATTATCATTGTGATATCAGAATCAGCATTTTATTTTGTATTGAGTCTATCCTTTAGTATCAAAATCAAGTCTGAAATGTTAGTATCGTGATAACACTACTTTGTACTCCTTTATGTTATCTCATGCGATTACAGTGTTATGTTAAGTTATTACATTGCTCAACAAAGCCTCTAAGCAAACTATCTCCCAGCATAAATGTTTAAATATGGATTTGTCATCTTGTTTTTCACTAACTTACGCCTGTATTTTTGCTTTGTAAGGTTTAATTTATTTTAAGATGAATAAAAAAGCTGTCAAGTGAGGACTGAGAGCTGCTGTAGTGCTCATAGCTGCCAGCAGAGGGCGGTACATGTTATGGTGGAAAGTTCAAAAACTCCACCACAACACAATAGCGTCATTGCTGTACCATCTGAGCCCTGTTACGTTGATGAGTGAGTGAGATGGTGAGATAAACTTGTTTGTGTAAATATACTGAGATAGCTTAACCTGTTTATAATGTTGTTTTCGTGGCCACCTCCAGCTGTTTTTGTTGGGAGTGACTTGTGCGATGAATGAGCCACATTGTGTGTTTTGTCTTACTCATGTTTTGGTCTGTTTTGTCTCCGCTGCTTTTGTCCCTTCCATCCTTTTCCTCACCTCATTACACCCATGTTACTTTGGTGCAGCAGAAAAGCACTGAGGCTGTCTGTGCCTGTGATCTCTCCATCTCTTGTGGTTTTAACATTTTTCTCGGCCTGTAATTCAGCCCCTCATACTCCCTTTATTGCTCTCACCATCGTAGATCATGACCTCACTCCCTCCTCCTGAATGCAAATGGTGAAATGTGATAAACGCTTTTGATTTTTATCTAGTCACTTTGCTGTGGCGACCAAAAGAAAACACTAAACACTGCACCTGCACAACCCACCCACAGCCTTATAACAGACTGCAGTGTGTTACAAAAATTACGGTTCTCAAATGTACGTGCCCAGATACTGTTAATTTAATATAAACTGAAAAATGTACACACAAAAATACATCTTTCTATAAATTCCAAACTATCCTATATTAGTAAAATGATAAAAACTAACAAAAATATCACCTTGTATAAACCATGTTGACGGTTGTTTGTTTCTGTACCGAAATAAATTCCATTCTCTTATCTCAAGTTCGTTATCTACGGCCTAGACTAAAGAGTGAATGGGATTATCTAAGATTGTATCACCTGGACAGAACGCTTGTCAAGATTTACATAATGCAAAAATAGAGCCCTGATCAGTCAAGTGTGACTAAAGATCCAGAGATTTTACCTATAACAACTGTTCTTTCACACAGACTCTAGTGTAGGATCATTGGCCTCCATGTTGTCATTGTTGTTATAACAGTCAGAGAAAGTTTGTTTGGCAAGTAGGGTTGTCAAAGTATTGAAAAATCTGATTCTAAAACTATTTTAGGAACTAGATACAGGTATTGATATTAAAAAATGAACTGCTTTAGAATGATCTTGAGCTGTATCGGAGCAAGTCAAGAGCTCATGGAACCCTATGAAACCTACCTGGATGAATGAAGAATTACACAGATATAAGGCCACATGGTAATATAAAAGAAAGTGCTATGATTCAGTGTTGAAAACCACATTCTATTGTGTAAAGAAATAGTGTTTTTTGCAATGACTGTGGTTTCAGAATAGGTATTAAGTATCAAATCTACTCCATAGTATCAAAATCGAGTTTTAAATTGTAGTATCCTGACAATACTACTTCCCACAGACTGGAGTATGGCATAACTCCCCATGTTTCTCCATTATAAGTGAAAGTTTTATGATAAGTCTAAACTCATGTCTGGAAATGTCTAATTTTTCCACCGTCATCCTTTGCTTCCCTGACTCGCCTGTTACACCACTGGTCACGTGAGCAGACAGACCATGAGGCTGCTGCTGCTGCTGAGTCAGACACCTGGTTTAAAAGTGAGATCACTCGTTCAAAGCTGCTTAAAAGTCTGAAGCGAATGTGCGTAATTGCGCTCAACTGGTTTCATCACCACCGTGTGATGTGTACAGTTACCCTCGGGTGAAAGAAATGCAGTCAGAGCTCCAGGTCGCGTATATGGCCCCTGGCGCAATGATAGCATCCCCTTACACCACCCACACACACATACACACACACAAACACACACACACACACACACGCATCTCCAATGTTTTAAAGCCCAATTAACCCATTAACCACTCAGCCAATCACGGCGCGCCACTGCTGAAAACCACGACGCTGTTTTCACTTACCAGCAATTCTTGGGTGAGTTTCATGAGGTTTTTGGTCTGGTTCGAGAGTTTATCCATTTCGCTCGGTCTGCGCTGGGGGACAGGGGACGTGGACGTGAAGACGGGCAGGTGGGCCAATAGCAGCGATAAGAGCAGCGAAGAGGAGGAGTCCAGGAGCACTGCGTAAAACAAAACGGAAGCAATTAGAGCACAGGCGCTGTCATCTCGCTATAATGATAATGACCTCAGCTCCAGGGAAAGATATTGCACCACAATATAAACAATGGCCCCAGACTTGGCACAGCGCCCCCTACGCGCCTCAGTGTCAGAGTCGTGTTTTCACAGGCTGGTTGCAAATCATTAAAAACATTAAAAGGGGCTTTGGCACAGAATATCACCATAGTTACTTAACCAAAAGCAAGGCAATGAATGCAGCTTATTGTCACACCTGCAACTGGATAGGTACGTGAGTCCGTGGTATAAATTATATAGAGACAGCCAAGTCAAGTCTCAAACAGTGCGCTTATTCATTCTTCTCCTTTCAAGTTCAAATACAAGGTAGCTAAGTATTAAAAGGGACCCAGAGCGGTGATGAAATGATGAATGCTTGATAATTACAGGTGAACCACAAGAATTACAGCCAAAATAACACTGCGGCATTTCCTACGTCTTTGAAACTGAGAAGTCATTCAAAAGTTACGCAAAGTCTGTGAACTCTTTGCACCGGTTCAAATATTAAAGCAAAAGTTCAAAACAACAGGATTTCGTGGCTGAACATGCATGCGTAAAAAGACTTACATTTCATATTGATCGGCTCCCAAGTTACAGCCAATCCACGCGGACAAATAAATAACAGATTAATTGAACAAAAAAAGAGCTCCGGAAATTGTCACGTGCTCCGGTGTCTTCTTCGTGTGGAATAAAGTTATCAGGACCAGTGAGGATGGCGAGATGTTGATGCGTGGTGAATTATGATCGCAAGGATGAAAAACAGGTACAAAAATGAAAAATCAAAGTAGTAAAAGTTAGTTTCTGAAGTTAAGTTAGAGCCCCTGTAATCTGTTTTTATAAGTGTTATAAGTTTGGAGAGACGTGCCACAGCGATACGGAGACAGGGATGCGAGTTCCAATTTTTGCGCGCTGTGAAGTGTTTAGGCTTGTTTAAAACTTCCTTTATAAAGACCTCGGGCCCATGACACATCGGCAGTGAGTCACTTCATTCATAAAAACACACATACACAGACACACGCGCGCTCTCTCCTGCCCTCCTACTTTCCTTCTCTCCTCCCTGCTCCCTGTCTCCCCTTTGCGAAACTTAGAAAAAATGTTCCGTTGTTTTCTTTTTTCTTTTTTTCACTGCTCTATCACTTTCTCTTGTCCTGTCCATGCTGCTATCTCTGCCACTTCCTCTGACCGGGAAGCAGCGTCTACCTGCGGCCAATCAGCGCAATCTTTCAGCTCTTTCTATCTCTCCATCTCTCCATCTCTTTCACTCGCTACTGTCACTTCAAAACACTTCGTTGTTTTACGCGTATCAAAGCATCGTGTAACCTTGGATATGTTTTGTTTTTGGTTCAATAACTTAAATTATTTTTTTAATTTCTAATAAAATACTATTATACATTACAAGATGTTTCCCAAACTGTGGTAAGAGTACGACTAGTGGTACGCTGGCTCCTTCTGGTGGTGCTCTGTTTTTATTAGTGTCATTGAATGTCTTCTTTTGGTCCTTGTTTAGAACTACTTTGGGCATTTTTCAGTGCCATTTGAGAGACGCTTTAGTCCTTGTTTAGACCTGGTTTAGTCGTTGTTTAGACCTGGTTTATCCCTTGTTTAGACCTGGTTTAGTCCTTGTTTGGACCTGGTTTAGTCCTTGTTTAGACCTGCTTTAGTCCTGGTTTAGACCTGGTTTAGTCCTTGTTTAGACCTGGTTTTATCCTTATTTAGACCTGGTTCAGTCCTGGTTTAGTCCTTGTTTAGACCTGGTTTAGTCCTTGTTTAGACCTGGTTTTATCCTTATTTAGACCTGGTTCAGTCCTGGTTTAGTCCTTGTTTAGGCCTGCTTTAGTCCTGGTTTAGACCTGGTTTAGTCCTTGTTTAGACCTGGTTTTATCCTTATTTAGACCTGGTTCAGTCCTGGTTTAGTCCTTGTTTAGACCTGCTTTAGTCCTTGTTTAGACCTGGCTTTATCCTTATTTAGACCTGGTTCAGTCCTGGTTTAGTCCTTGTTTAGACCTGCTTTAGCCCTTGTTTAGACCTGCTTTAGTCCTTGTTTAGACCCGCTTTAGTCCTTGTTTAGACCTAGTTTTATCCTTGTTTAGACCTGGTTTTATCCTTGTTTAGACCTAGTTCAGTACTGGTTTAGTCCTGGTTTAGACCTGGATTAATCCTTGTTTAGACCTGGTTTAGTTCTTGTTTAGACCTGGTTTAGTCCTGGTTTAGTCCTTGTTTTAGACCTGGTTTAGCTTGTTTAGACTTGTTTTAGTTCGTTTTTAGACCTGGTTTAACTATGCAGAAAGTCAAATGTCAAATATAATTACAAGTCAAGCATGTCACCAGTCATTTTTCACTGGTTTTGGTTCAGAGCTTGGCTTAGAAATCATTGTATTAGTAGTGTACTGAAGCAGGTAGCCTAATTGCAGTATAGTTTTCATAATTACGCTGTTGCCATGCTGTTTCATTTCTATTATCATGCTATTACTCAGCTGTGAAGTGCTACCAATTTGTTTTACGATGCGTTCACACTTGTCCTGGTTTAGTCCTGATGTACACTTGGTTTGGTCCTGTTCTAGTCTAGGGTTAGTCCCAATTTTGGTGTGTTGTCTGCAACTCTTAGTAAATTTATGAATGATATTTCTCTTCTTCAGAACCTCTTTTGAGACAGCGGCCTGGTGTTTCCACTGCCCCCCCACTCTCTCTCCCTCTCTCCCACCTCCCTCCGTTTTTTCTCTTCCTTCTCCAGGGTGAAGGAAAGAGTGAGGAGTGCGATCGGAGCACGGAGAGGTGTTGTCCAGACCAGAAGGGGCCTCTGAAAGTGTTGCATAGAAACAGTCAGTAGACACACACGCATACACACGCATATATACACCGTACACACCACATTAACCATGAGTGTCCTTAGGGGGCTGGTCGTCAAGGTACAGGGGGACACACGTGCCAAACACTCACAGATGTAGCTCATATTGAGGTATTTGAAAAGCTCTCCTATACAAGATCCATGTCAAATTGGTTTCTATTTTATATTTATGCACACAACTGGAATATAATTTGGAAAACTTTCTGGAAAATGGCTTTCTACCTGCTTGTCTTGCTGTTGAGATGTTTCTGCTTTGACAGGAATGGCCCACAGACTATAACCTTACTTATCTCCACGGAGACAAGCAGGTAACACCACCAGATCAGACCGAGTTATGGGTCAGATCTGTGGCGAGGCGATCCCACTCACAGAAAGAATATCTGTTATCTCTGAGCTAAAAAAAACAGCAGCAATGTATAAATAAGTTTAGCGTCCCACTGTGAAAACATTATAGGTCAGACAATAACAGCGCCATGGAGACAAGCAGGTGACAGACCCACTTACAGAAAAGTTACGCAATGCATCTGTGTCCCTTTTTCCTGTATCACCTACTGGTTGGTAGTTAAAAATGCACTGTGTAATTTTTCTGGTGGGGGTCCACTATTTATATGTTTCCATAAAATGTTGTATGTTACACCGTGGGGCATTAAACTTATCTGTCTTTTATTTATTTAAGTACAGGCGTTTTTATGGCCCATAAAATGCATTCTACGTGTGGGTGTGTGTGGGTGTGAGGGAGGGAGGAGGTTGTCTTTCCATAGATCTGATCTGTAACTCACTATCTGCTTGTCCGTATAGATAAACAATGGCATTTCCATGGAGACAAGGAGGTAGCAGAAAAGTTACATAGTGCACCATTAATGAAAATGTTTTATATATCCATGATAGTCTATAATAGCGCCGGGTATCATTCAGAAGTTGCCGATACGATACATACCTCGATACGTAGGCCACGATATGATACATACCTCGATACGTAGGCCACAGTACAATACATACATTGATACATAGGCCATGATACAATACATATCTCGATACGTAGGCTACGATACGATACATATCTCGATACGTAGGCTACAATACAATACATACATTGATACATAGGCCATGATAAGATACGTATCTCGATACAATGAGCTTACGATTTGATATGATATATTTCAAATCAATTCGATACTGTTCAGTAGAAAATAAAAGTTAAAGCATAGTTATTATACTGCAGTCAGGCTGGCGCCACCTAGTGCCTTCGCTCAATTTCTTTTCTCTCCAGCGACAAGGTCAGGAATCAGAATGCATTAGATGTTTCACAAAAAACCCGAAAATGCGAGTTTGGGCACCAGCCAATCAGCGAAGAGCCATACATTCTGTGTTGGCAACGATTCTTGAGACTGAGGATTTAAAGCCGGAATAAAGAGAATGTTTGGTGAATTTCATCAAGGGGAAAGACATTATTGCCCCTCTTCCTACGGGATTTGGGAAAAGCTTAATATACTATTTATCTATGTTAGAAGCGCAGTACATACATCATGACCAAATAGCAGCGACTGGTTAAATGATAAAAACTAATTCTAACACAGTGAGTTCAGACAGTTCTTACGAAGGGAAACCAGCTGATGAATCAAGCTAGTAAAACAGCAATTCTTAGTTTATCCACCTCTTGTGCAAAGTTCTTATGAAACACGCACATTTTAATCATCAAAACTGACAGTGAAAATGTCAAACGTAAACAAATTTCATTCCTCTACACAAGCAACGAAACTGTAGCTCAGTAACAAAATTATTTTGTAAAATATACCAAAAAATGCTCTTGGCGATATATTGATACAGCAACCTACGATATCGATACTGTATCATCACATTAAACGATACGATATATCGATATTTCATTGTATTTGCACACCCCCGGTCCATAACCATTTTGTTTATTTATTGTTTTATTTTAAGTATTCAAATTACAAAGTTTATTTAAAGCTGATTTAAAACTATTTTGGATAAATGACCTTAAATACTGTCAGGTGTCATAAACCAGTATAATCTCTGTAGCAGTTCCAAGCCCAGACAAACAGGGAAACCTATTAAAACCTATGTTAAATCAATAGCTATGCAGATCCCTGGATGCCAAGAGTCAGAACATTTTTGGCAGCGCGATAGGAAAATGGGAAAGAGCGCAGCAGCAGCACTGGAGAATGCTTCCTTACATACAGAAAATCTTTATTGAGTTACATGACATTTACAAGAGCTTGTGTTTCTTCTTTTCCTACGGGGTCACCACCAGATCAAATCAAGTCCCCCCAAAGCCCCCGTGTTTACCCAGGCAGGGACCAGGAAAACACTGGCACAGGGTGTACAACTGCCAGGACAGAGCGAGGAGAAAATGAAGACTGCACAGGACTAAACCAGGACTAATCAGGACAAAACCAGGACATAACCAGGACTTAACCAGGACTTAACCAGGTTTAAACCAGGACTAAACCTGGACAAACTATGACAAAACTAGGTCTTAACCAGGTGTAAACCAGGACTAAACCAGAACTAAAACAGGAGTAATCCAGGACTAGACCAGGAGTCAACAGGTCTAAACCATGACTAAACCAGGACTCATCCAGGACTCAATCAAGACTAACCAGGACTAAACTTGGACTAATAAGGACTAACCAGGACATAACCAGGATTTAACCAGATCAAAACCAGTTCTAAACCAGGACTAAACCAGAAATAAACTGGACTAAACCATGACTAAACCAGGACTCATCCAGGATTCAACCTAGACTAACCAGGACCTGGACTAATCAGGACAAAACCAGGACTAACCAGGACATAATTAGGACTAAACCAGGAGTAAACCAGGACTAACAAGGACTAAAATAGGGTTAACCCAGGACTAAACTTGGTCTAAATCAGGATTAAACCAGGACTAACCAGAACTAAACCAGGACTAACCAGGTATAAAACCAGACTAAAACTAAAACAGGTTTAAACTAGTACCAGAATAGGTTTATGGGACTATGGGAAGATGAAACCATAACTAAACCAGGACCAACGAAGGACTAAAAAGAAGAT